ACGGTCAGGCAGTGGAGCGGGGAGGGACGCCGATGGATGGGGGAGGGGAGGAGACGAGAGGGGTAGTCATGTCCGCGCACGATTAGATCTGGTCGATCTGGTTTGGCGAATCGAACCGCCAGGGTCCGATTCGATGCAATGGGGTCTCCCACCACGATTCGATAACGATTTCAATCTGGATGCCGAGCGACTTGATTCTGGTCCACAGCAAGGCGTGCGACGCTCAAGATCTACCCACGAGCTTGCGAAACTCTGCTAGCTTTGCAAGCACCTGGGTAGACCTGGCGTGCACGCTTAGTCCGATTATCGGCCGACCTCGATCGATATCTTGCCGTCGTCCAAGTCCAGACGCCAGCTCTCCTGCTCCGGCTCCTCGCTCCCTCGCCCTCTCCCTCCCGCCCGCTCCCTGTCCTCCTCCCTGCTCCCCCCCCCCCCCTCCGCAGTGTACGCAGCCGTTTTTGGAGGGGTCTCCCTCGTCCGCCTCTGCACCTCCTGTTCCTCCCTCGCTCCCTGCTGCCCGCTCCCTCTCCTCGTCCTGCTCATCCTCCCCTCCCCTTCTCCGTATACTCGGGCCGGGCGAAAGGGGGGGATTGGGAAAGGGGGGGTTACGAAATTTGCTGCATGCAGCTGGTTTCGGCTTCACCGAAGGGCCCATTCCTCGATACATAGCCGCCTCTGGCGCCGGGAGGCGCCGGGAAAATCAGCTACGTGAGCTGATTCTCAAACCCCCCCTTTGCTATCCCCCCCTTTCGCCCGACCCGATATACGCAGCCGTTTTTGTTTGGCTCGGGCCGTTGGTGGACTCCCTGCCCAGCCGAGCTGCCCGCCCCCCCCGAAGGCGCAAAGCTTGGGAGGCGGCCGGGGAGTCCTAGCCAGGCAGCCAGCCCCCCCTCCAAAAACGATCAAGAGGGGTGGGGGGGGGGGGCAACTGCGCCAAAAATCCGTCCCCAGACCCCTCCTGAGGTCGAAGCCGTGACCTGTTGTTCGAGCCGCCTCCAGCCCTGGCGACGAGGGCCTGGCGACGAGGGGGACTCTTTCTCCCCCAGCGCTGGGCCACCTCGGCCTCCCCTGAGCATCCTCAGGACGCGACTGAGCCCAATGTGTGTTTTCCCGCGCTCAGCTCCGCCGATGACGACGCGGCTGCCGTCGGCCCTCGTTACGCCGCATGCGTCGTATTGGAGGGCTTCATCCCGGGGAGCCGTGGTCGCCCCGCTCACGCGCTCCGCACCTCCCCTCGGCCGCCGCCGCTGCTGCCCCACTCCCTGCACCCCGCCCTCCCCTTTTGGCGCGCAGAGGGGGGCCAGGGTGAGGGGGGAAGGCTTCTCAGAAGGAGGCTGGAAACGCACACGTTGGCGCTGACAGTTCGCTCCAGGGCTCGTCGACCCTCGGCAGGCTCGCGCGGCCTGCCCCGCCAGGAGGTGCCGAACTGCCCGCCGCATGCCTCTGCTCGCCGCCGCGGCGGGGGCCGCCGGCACGGCCCTGGGCCTGGTGGCCCTCGGCCGCGCCGCGGGCCGCACGGCGGACGAGCGGCAGGCCGAGGCAGGGCCCCCTCTTCGGGGAGCAAGCTTTGCGTCGCGGCACCCCTGCCTCGTCGCTTCCTCCTCTCCTCCTCCTCCTCCTCCTCCTCCTCCTCCTCCACCTCCTCGTCCTCCTCCTCCTCTCCTCCTCCTCCTTCCTCCTCCTCCTCCTCCTCCTCCTCCTCCTCCTCCTCCTCCTCCTCCTCCTCCTCCTCCTAGTCGCCGCTACTGTTCTGTGCAGCATGCGACGGATTCGGCCACCCATCCACCATGGGCGGCCCCACAACACAACCCTGAGTCCGAGGGGCTCTTGGCCAGCCGCAGTGGCCCTTCCTGTGCTGTCTCTCCTGGTGTACAACCCCTTGCACGCAGCTGGAGACAGATTATTGGATATTGTGGCTGAAGTACCGAATGTACATGTACTGGGTTTTCCTGGCACTCAGCGAAAGGCTCCCCTCGATTGTCCGTATCAGGTCAGCATGGTGCAGCAGCGTGTATGCATTGAGGCAGGGTGGAGGTCAGGAGGCTTCTCGAACCGATCAGCTGGCGTTGCCGCCGTGTTGCCCACAGTCTGGCGTCAGCAACCTGTTCGTCGTGTCGAGCTACCCCCCCCTCCTCTGCAAAGGCGAGGTTTAGCGATTGATGCAGGGAAGGGAGGCTGGCAACTGTTTATTGTCGTACTGTACTACCCTCCCCGCCCCAGCGCAGCCACGGGTCTCCGGCAGCACTTCGCGCGCTGCAAGAAACTGTCCGAGTGGGTTACGGGGCTCCTTAAACAATTTCCTGCACGGGTTCATCCAGTTATACTAGCGGATGTAAACGACGGAATGGGGCTCAGCAAGGTGGAGGGGAACTGGGAGGAGGTGGAGACGCAGGCGGTGGGACAGGTGAGGACGAGGGAGAGGCACATCGGAGGAGCAGGACAACGAATCCGAGAAGTTTTGGAGGCAGCTGATTTATACTCCCCAACGGCGACGTTACACTATGTTCCAACGTTCTACGGAAGCAGTGGCGGCAGCAGTATGATTGATCACATCGGGGTCCCGTTGGCGTGGTGCGACTCGGTCGAGTGCGCAGCTCCGATGCACAAGTTAGGACGGAAGCTGCAGGTCATTCCTCATCGCGAGCCGCGCGACCACCTGCCTGCTCTGGTCAGCGCTCGTGCGCCTAGGATTGGAGGAGGACAGGAGGTCAGAGAGGAGGCCGCCCCAGATGCCAAGACCCGCCTGAAAGTCGCCTGGGACCGCGATAAGCTCATGCAGGGCCTCCGCGGGGGGGCAAGGAGGGAGGCTTTCATCAGGCAGGTGGAGGAGGAGATGGAGGAGGTGTGGTCCAGTCTTTCACCAGATCTTGCAGATACAGCTGTTCCAGATATCCTGCTCGATAAGATGGATGATATCCTACGGCGGATGGGCAGTCAGCATTTTCAGAGAGAGGGCGTCGGGCCACGAGGGCCACGCCCACTCATTCAGGAGCGTATTGTTCTTCTTGCTCGGCGACGAGCGCTGCGCGCATCACTTCCTTATGCCGCGGATGCTGAATTTGAAGATTGCTGTGCCCGACTTCGTGAGTATACTAAGCGATGCAAGTCTCTCTTTCGCGTCGCAGCAGGGAACGGGACGAACGCCTGGTGCAAGCCATATTGGAGGCTTGGAGAGCCCGTGACTTTGCGATTATCCAGCGTCTCACTCTTCAGCTCGCAGGTAGGAAGTGTGGGAGGGCTAAGCGGGACCTTCGAAAGCTAAATGGAGCGCCACCTACCCCTGAGCAATGGATGGCGGTGTGGGAACAGCAGGGATGGGACGGAGGGATGCTAGCGCGTCGAGCTGAATGGTCAGAGTATTGCGACCATCAACATGCCATCTCAGCTCGTCCCCTTTCTCGTGAGATGGCCGAGGAGAAGGCCGCTCGCTCCTGCTTTCGGGCACTCTTTGATCTTGAGCTTATTCAGAAGTACTTCGCTCGAGCTCCGAAGAGACGAGGGGCCCCGACGTGGGCGCTGCCGCTTGAGATCTGGAGCACGCGCATCAATGGCCCTCGAGCGCAGCAGGCAGCCATGCAGGGGGCGGGGATTGGAGCGGATACGACCGTCACGGAGGGTAAGAATACGAAGCTGCTGCTGCATCGAGTCTTTGCTCTTACTAGGTCCTGGGAGGTCACGCCCAAGCTTTGGAATATAAGTCAGGGGTTCGCTATTCCGAAAGCCGCTGTCCCAGGGCCGAAAGGCAAACGAGTCGTCCATGAGCTGGATCCCCTTAGCAAAGGTTTTTATGCAGGTATCCTCAAGGTCGGCCCCAAAGAAGCTCACTCTGAATGTGGCCACGGATTTCTTCGATTTCGACGGCGTTGAAGACGCCCTGGTTGCATGTCTCTGCACTGGCTGGCGTGTGAATCAGGCAGGCCTCTACTCGTGCGATCCCTTAAAGGATTTATCCAATGCCTTTGCTTCCCCACATTGACAGGCCCTTGATGCAGCATGTGTTTCCCTCGCTCAGCATGATGATCGTAAACTGCGTCGTCAAAGGTATCGCACCTCGGGCTGTGCGCTGCCGTCTTGCATGGGCTCGTTTCTGATCCATCCTGGCTGTGGAGCACTGCAGGGTGACCCGTTTGCCGTGGCCAGTTTTGTCCGTGCCTTTAAGCCGCCCGTGGACCGCTGGATTGGGCGATACCAGCGCGAGGACTCAGAGGGGCAGTTTTTTTGCGGGCGCACCTCCCGCCGGCCATGGACCCTGTCCGCAAGAATAACTTCTATCTCGGCTTGCGCAAATTCGCAGATGACCTGCTGAAGGAGATTGCTATTGGTCGGACATATGACGCCCAACGCGTTGGGCACCTTCTTGATCGCAATGACGCGATCCTCGATGAGGGGCTCTCTTCCATCGGATTGAGGCGTAACCAACAGAAGCAGGAAGCGATTGTGCGGGCGCCCGCTGGCTCTCGGCGAGGCGCAGCTGCGATCTTGAGAAGTCGGGAGACGAAGGTTGCTGAGGACGTTCGGTACCTGGGCCCTCGGATTTCGCCAACGCAGTCGTTTGGACCAGAGCTCTTGCGCAGGATCCAGGCCATGAAGGCTGCTTTCTATCGTATTGGAAGCTTCTGGTTTAAGCGTGGAGTACCCGTCCGATGGAAGCGATGTGCACTGCTGTGCCACATTGTGAATGCGGCGCTGTCTGGGGTCGAGGCTTTCGTACCGACCGAGGTTCAGCTCAACGCGCTGCAGCTGGCTATCGCGGCTCTCGCTCGTAAAGCTATGCGTGGGGATGCTAGTTGGGAGGACCAGGAGGGCCGTATTCGATCGCTTTCGTCGCTGGAGGTGCTGAGGTGGTGGAGGGTCGCCCCCGTCTCGACTGAACTCCGTGTTCGACGGCTTCGATGGCTTCAGGCGTGCATTCGACGACCCGAGGCCCACCAGCAGTTACTCGCATCGGTGTTCGGCAGCGTGACTTTCGAGCGGGAAGGGGTCTTCGATGACCACGGTCGGCTTCGTGAATCGGCCACCCCATTGGCCCGTCGTGTTCAGGATGATCTCAGACACCTTGTCCAGTGGAGCTCGGACGCTGCAGAATGCTGGGGGCGCGCGGAGGGCTCGATTCTGAAACTGTTTGACCCCGAGATCGCCCCCGACTTTCTGCGCGTGGATATGACTATCCTGAGAGGCACGCACTCGTCTGTTGAGGTACCTCCCCCTGGGCTCGAGGAAGTTGATCACCTAGCTCTGGAATGCGAGGCCCTATGTACGGAGTTCCCCCACATGTGTCCCTGGCCTGGCTGTCAATCTAAGTTCTCCTCTAAGTCTGGATTGGTTAACCATATTCGGCGGATTCATGGCGCGGTGAAGCTGTCCCAGGCCCTGACCAAGACGAACCATTGCACTGCGTGCCGCGAGGCCTGGTGGGATCGCAAACCGGCCCAAAAACATCTCCATGGAGCTCTGGTGAACGGAAGGTGCTTGCATAATATGGCCACCGCCCTTCGGCCCCCCCAGGAACCCCAGAACCTCACCTGTAGTATATGTGGCTCTTTTTTTGTTCAGGCATAGCTGAATGCAACGATCACGCCTGCACCCACCTGCCTTTCGTTCCACGTGTGCGTGATGGCCCTCGTCGACGACACCCTGTTCGGAACCGATGTCGACATGCCGCAGTGGCTGCGCGCGGTGAGGCCCAAGCGCGGCGCCGAGGAGCAGGCCGAGGGCGCGGCCAAGAAGCCGGCGACGGCAAGAGGCGGAAGCGGAGGCGGCGGGGGTGGCGGGGGCAGGAGGCGCCGCCAGGCAAATCCCGACGACAGCGACTTCGTGGACGCGTTCAGGGCCATGGCACGTTTGTCGCCCAGCAATGCCAGAGAGCTGGCCATGATCGAGTCGAATGTCCTCGAGACGTACCTGATCGACGAGAGCGCCTGGTTCGCTCGCGCGGGCATGGCAGCAAACGCACACTACACGGGCCAGGCGAAAGCGTTCAAAGAGAAGAAGGACCTGGACCCTACCGTCGACCTCGCCAGCCTAGGGCCTCCCTTTCTCACGGTCTTCTGGTTGATCATAATGGCCATCCGTCAGAACGCGAACTCGGGTGCGCCGAAGGAGGCCATCGAGAATTTCCACCGCGACCACTTGCAGGGCAAGGGTCCAGTCGAGCTGGCGAATTACGTCCGTCACATCTCGTTCCAGCAGCCGAGGGGCGAGAAGTCGAAGCGCATGGAGGACAAGGTCAAGTTCAGGTTGAACGTGATGCCGAACGGGACGACGGGGCAGGCACTCTGCGAGATCTTCCAGCAGGTTCTGATGGAGGTCAAAGCGGAGCGGCTGGTGGGAGCGGCCCCGAGGAGTGCAGCAGAGCGTCAGGTACAGCAGTGGTCGAATCGTCACTCGACCTGAAAGTGGCGAGGCTGGTACGAGCAGCCTCGGCGTCAGCGGCACGCACGGATCCTTCTCGCCTTGCGGGCGCTGCAGGGGGTGATGTACCGACCGCGTTGGCGGCAAGCACGGATCCCTCTGCCAGCCTTGCGGGCACTGAGATAGGTGATGTACCGACCGCTGGCGCCAGACCTGCTGATGAAGATATGAAGTCGTTTGAGATAGTTGACTGGGAAGGTGAGATCATGGATTCACGTTTTACTGGCGACGCGGGCAACCACTATCGGGCGTTTCACCGCGCGATCTCCGTGGGACCTCCTGCTCAGGTATCGTCGACGGCACCTACAACTGCATCCAGTACATCGAATTCGCGTACGGTTCGTTCGGCGCCGCGTCGTCCTTCCCCCTCGAGTGGAGTGAGGCAGCCTTTGACCGCCCCGCCGCCGCTTGCCTTGCCTGCATGCTTTTCCACTAGTGCTCGTTTTGCGTCCCTGGTGGCTCGTGGCCATATCAGGGACATCAGAACGACTGGAGGAGATGGGTTTGTGTGTGTGGGAGGCGGGGGTGGGACGGGCTCGGGGGAGGGAGAAACGGAGCGGCTGGCTGCGGCGGACGCTGACCGTGCGGAGGGCCGCGCGGATCCGCCCAGCGAGCGACGAGCTTCTAGGCCACCTCAGAAGAAGCGTGGACGGCCCAGTAGGGGTCTGCAGTCTGGGATTTGAGGCTGGCGCCTGCAGGTACCCCTGGTGGACATCCACCTCTCGGGGCTTGCCTTCGGGGCCAGCGGGGGCGTCTCCCCCCAGCAGGAGCCCCTCTCACAACTTTATGGTTGATGCGGCCACATGGCCGTCGCATGGATGAGAGCTCTTTTCCAGCAGCCCTGTTGCTGATCAGTGTTTGTGGATTCAGAGATCGTCCCCAGCGCTCAGTTCAATTCAGTTCAGTTCCTCCTCCTCCTCTCCTCCTTGGCTTCGCTTCTGCCTCCTCCTCCTCCTATATCTTGGTATCGTTCTGACGTGTGCACTTTTTCTCGGCGTGGATTATTCAGGAGCATCCTGGATCATCCTGCGAAACACACCACGCACGAAACCGAAAACACACAGGGAATGGACGTCCGAGCGATGGCCAGCTCTTCGTCCTCCTTCTGCTTCTGCGGGCCGTGTTTCGTGGCATGTCCGTTGCCCGTCCCCGCCTCTGTCACCAGTCCGTCGCCTCTCGAACCCAGCGGGGTGCGATCTATTTTCTCCGGCTGGCATGCCGAGCCGCGCGGAAGGCGTTTGGCATCTTCGCGGCCCAAAAAGACAGGAGCCGCAGCGCGGCAGAGGCAGTCCGCACGCGCGCTCGGGCAAGCCGAGTGACGACATTGCGCAGTGGCCCGGCAGCAAGAGTGGTGGACAGAGGGGGAGGAGCAGCCGCGGAAGGGGGGGAAAAGAGCTTAGGGCGCTCACGCGGCGGAGTCTCGGCGGGGAACACACAATGGCACAAACAGAACAACTCTGAGGTCCGCCCAGATTTCGGGGATCGGCGCTGGGGCCTCCGAGAAATTGGCGCGGACCTCCGAGTTGTTATGTTGATGTAATTGCTCGTTCCCCTTGTAAAGGAAAAGTCCCCCTGTCGATCCCACCGGGCTAGACTCGAGAACGATTGTTCGCCTGGGGCCCGATGTGTTTCGATCCCGATTTATATTATATATAACATATCGATAGGTGTATGTGTATGGGTATAGATTTACACGTACTCCCATGCACACATACACATACACAGACACAGACACAGACACAGACACAGACACAGACACAGACACAGGCATGCATACATACATGCATCGATGCGTACATACATACATACGTGCGTACGTGTGTACGTATGTACGTACGTACGTACGTGCGTACGGACATACATACACACATATGCATGCATCCATGCATACAAACACGCATACACACATACTTACACACATGCCTGCCTACACGCATACATACTTACATACACATATCCATACAAGCATACGTGCACACATACATACATACATACATACATACATACATACATACATACATGCATACATACATACATACATACATGCATGCATGCATACATACATGCATGCATGCATGCATGCATGCATGCACCCACATATATATATATATATACATACATGCATACATGTATGCTTACATGCATGCATACATACATGCATACAATCATACATGCATTCATGCATACATGTATAGATGCATTCATACATACATCATACATACATACATACATACATACATACATACATACATATATACATACATACACACACATACATACATACGTACATACATACATACGTACATATACACATACATACATAGATGCACACATACATCTGTATACATATTTATATGTGTATACACATCCTTGCGGCCCGATTCTCAGAGGATAACGAATTGAGACAACGGTAGTTGCCCTTCGGGAGGGGGCCATCTCGCCACGGCTGGACGGTGCTCTGAAAACCGTTGCGTCTGGATCCCAGCATTGGCCCTGGGGCCGCCTCTGAGCTGCCGCTGCCTCAGCTCGCCCTGCTCCGCGAGCCGCTTCCATGCCGACCTTTCCTGCCGCTCCGATGCGGCCCGATGTCTTCTCGCATGGCGCTGCTGTGCATCCTGGCGCGGTCGATCCGCTCCGATCCTCCCTCTCCGTGCCGACGTGCTGCCCGATCCGAGCTGCACGCCGAGAGTCGGCCCGATGGCCCGACGCGGTGCTGGCCTCGACAAGATCGAGGATCGAGCATCGATCGAGGATCGAGGATCGATCGGGGGATCGGGGGATCGAGGATCGAGCGGAGGATCGATGCCCGATCCTGCAGGATGCTGCAGAGGCTGCCGCGAGCAGGAGCGCCTGCGTCAAGAGGCTCGGCGTGGCCACGTGCCTCCGCGCCGGCAGCTGGGTGAAGGCCTCGGCGTCGTCGAACCGATCCCCAGCCCTACCCCCGTCCCGATCCCCACCAATCCCCCACCCCAGCTTAGGATTGTGGAGGACGATCAATGGAGAGGAAGCATGTTGCCCACTCATTTCCAGATGTCTAAAACATGTGTTAAACATGTTTTAACCATGTAAAAAAGCATATTCAAACATGTTTAGAACACTGTTCCGACATCTAAAACACATTATAAATGCAATGACAGGACTGTTAGGGTATCCATTGCCGTGGCATCCACACGTCTAGGATCTGCCCCTCGAAACTCAAAATCAACAGCCCAGATCCCCTATCTAGGCGGGGTAAGCCGGCCAGTGGGACAAGAGCTACGCCCGTGGGGACAGCGATCGGTCAAACAATGCTCTAGGCCAGCCGGCACGTTGCCCTCGTTGGCGGTGCGCTGGTGATCGGCAGGCGCCCCGGCGCGGCGGAGCGCTCGCTTCAGCTCCGCGGCGCGAACATCGCGGCGGATGGCTATCCAGCTAGCGCTGCCGCGCGATTCCGCCACAGCGCTCAGGCGATGCGCCACAGCGCTGGGCCGAGACGGCTTGCAAGGCATCCCAACATGCGTGGAGACTAGATTTCATTTCGGGCTTCGCCACGCCCCAGGGGGCCAGGGGGGGGGAGGGGGGCAAGGAAGGGAAGGAAGAGGGGGAGGAGGAGAAGGAGGAGGAGGAGGGACGAGGAAGAGGGGGAGAAGGACAAGGAGGATGGGATGGGGGGAGGAGTGGAGGGAGGAGGAGGAGGAGGGAGGGAGGAGGAGGAGGAGTGGAGGGAGGAGGAGGATGATGATGATGAAGAGGAGAGGAGGAGGAGGCAGGAGGAGGAGGAGCAGGAGGAGGAGGAGCAGGAGGAGGAGGAGGAGGAGGGGGGAGAGGAGAGGGGGAGGAGGAGGAGGAGGAGGAGGAGGAGGAGGAGGGGGAAGACCCCCACCCCCCTGCGTGCAAGTAAGTTGCCAGAGTCCAAAACATGTCTTCCGCCTGGGCGCGGTGGCGGGGGGGGGGGCTCCAGAGACCGAGGCCATCGTCGTCATCTTCGTCGTCGGTCTCTGTCGCCGTAGGCCAGCATTTTATATGGGATTCTTCCGAAGGGATGCTTGCACCAAGGGGTTCATACTGTCGACTGGGTCGTTTGTTCGTATCGCCGAGAATTTGGGCTTCGGGGCTCTTCTCCGCCACTGGGTGTGGCCATCCGTGCCGTCATATGTGAGACAGTTTTTTGGTCCGACGGCGAAAAGCATAAGGACCTGGGGGAACAACAATGAAAGGATATTTGGTTCGATTGGCAGGGGGCTCAACTATTGCATCGCAAGAAGAGAAATAACGGAATTCAAGCACCTGGCACACACCAACCGCTGCAAGCGCGGTGGCGGATGTCGTCAAGGTCACCGCGCTCTCTGGTGCAACCTTGGCCACTTTCTGGCTGAACAGCCCGGTCGAGGCTGCGCGCTGGGCAGATGAGCTGGATTCGTGCGCCACGACCTTGTCCAATATGTCGAGCTTGCCCAAGGCGTCGAGCCTGAAGAGGCGGAAGTTGCAGATGGACGCGATCAGTGCCGAGCAGGATCTCTGGGAGGCGAAGATCCGGATGGCGCAAGATTCACGTGCGCAGCAGGATACGCTACTGGTGGAGGTGGCCGAGACAGCGCAGGAGGAGACCAAGCTGAACTCGGACATCGAAAGGAAAACAGACTTGCCGAAAAGGCTGAGCCCCAACCGCCGCCAGGCCGAGAAGCTGGAGCAGATCTGCAAGGACAAAGAGGGCCAGGTCGCCGTGCTGCAGGTCGGAGCAGGGCGAGTGGAGACGACGGCAGTCCGTTGTGCGGACGCAGCTCGGACAACTTGTGCGCGTGGACTTCCCCTCGGGGTCAAGCGCACCAGTTCTCCGAGCTGCGTCCAGCCGTGGCTGGGCGGCGGGCCGGGGGGGAAGTGAGAGTTGGGGGGGGCTTTCTCAGATGGCGGAGAGGCTTCTCGGATGCCCTCGTGCCCTCTGAGAAGTTCTCTGAGCCTCCTCCAGTACAGAGGCCCTTTCGGGCCCAGAAGGGAGCCTCTGGGGCCCGAAAAGGGCACTTTTCCATTCCCCCCCCCGCCCGGTTGTCGCTCCCCCCCCCCCCCCTCTCCCAACGAATTCGCGTCCAACCTGCCCCCTCTGGCTTCCCCCCTGGGCTCGCAGCCGAGTGGCTGCGACGGCCACCCCCGAAGGCCAGCCACCGCCGCCTCACCTCGCCCCGGGGGCGGGACGAAGACAGGGCGCTGGAAGCCGAGAGCGTGACGAACAGACAGACACACCGAATTCGGCGGCGAGCGAGGGGGGGGAACTGGGGAATGAGAAGGAGGAGGCCTTCTCAGAAGGCGGCGGGACTTCTCAGAAGCCCTCGTGCCTCCTGAGAAGTTTTCTGCGTCTTCGGGTCTTCGGGGAAGGCCGAGAACACGTCTCAGCAGGCCCCGGGACTTCCGAGCCTGCGGAGAAGGCCCGCCACTCCTCGCTCCCCCCCCTGGGCTCGCCGCCGACGAGAACGAGCGAATGCGACGCGAAACGAAAACAACACAAACACTGCCTCGAGCTCGCCCTCCTCCCAGAGATCCCATGTCGTGTTTTTTTCAATGTGGGGCCCCAGGAAGTCTCGACCCATTCCCCAGGACCGGTTTTCCATCCTGAGTCGTTTTTTGACGGTCACAGGGCCCGGCGAGGGCCCCTAGGAGCCGAAATTGGCGAAAAAACGCCGTCTGGATGTTTGTCAATGCGCTGGATCTCTGGGCTCCCAGCAGGGGCAGCTGGACGCCTGCCCGGGCTCGCCCGGCGAGCTCGGCCTCGACGGCGCGCCGGCCGCCGCCGAGCGGGCGCAGCAGAGGAGGCGGGCCCCGCCGGACCAGGGCGAGGCCGCGGACCCGCCGCGGAGGAGGCCGTGGGCGCCCCCAGAGAGGCGGGCGCTGGCGGGGCTTCGGCTACACGCTCCTCATCCCTCCCTCCCTCCTCCTCCCTCCTCCTCCCTCCTCCCTCCTCCTCCTCCTCCCTCCTCCCTCCTCCTCCTCCTCCCTCCCTCCTCCTCCTCCTCCCTCCTCCTCCTCATCCTCATCCTCATCCTCATCCTTTCTCCCTCCTCCTCCTCCTCCTCCTCCTCCTCCTCCTCCCTCCTCCTCCTCCTCCCTCCTCCTCCTCCTCCTCCTCCTCCTCTCTCCTCCTCCTCCTCCTCCTCATCCTCCTCCTCCTCCTCCTCCTAGGGGAACGCTGTGCCTCCTCCTCCTCCTCCTCATCCTCCTGCTTCTCCTCCTCATCCTTTTTCCTCCCTCCTCCTCCTCCTCCTCCTCCTCCTCCTCCTCCTCCTCCTCCTCCCTCCTCCCTCCTCCTCCTCCTCCTCCTCCTCCTCCTCCTCCTCCTCCTCCTCCTCCTCCTCCTCCTCCTGGCCCTGCTCCAGAGTGACCTTTGGTGCGTGGCTTCCGGGGGTGCGGGGTGGCCAACCCCCCAGGTACGCAGGCCGCCACGGCCGCATCGCAGGCAAGGGTCGGCAGGCCGCAGACCAATAGTCCCTCCTGCCTACCCGGAATTTTCCAGTCGCGACCGACGAGAACTATCGCCACCAATGTTGCTTCATCTTTCGGTATCGGTCGCGACCGATTTGCTTCAACATCGGTAGCGGCGGGTTGGTCGCGACCCATCGGTCGCGACCGTCTCAGAGTGCCCGTCGGTCGCTGCCGATCGCGATCGACAAAAATCCGTATTCGAGGATCTGGGCAGGGTCTTTCCTGCCCGTAGCCGAGAGGCCTGCCGTGGGGGGCGCGGCGGAGAGAGCGGCGGCGCCCGCGGCCGGCCGGGGGGGCACGGCGGACGGCGCGGGCGGCCGCGACTGGGCCGTGCGCTTCCTGGAGCTGCCCTGGGTGCGGGCCGCTCGCGGCGCCCCGGAGGGGGCGCCCCGGGAGAGGCGGCGGAGGCGGCCAAGGGGGGGGGGGGGGCGGTGGCTTGCCCTCCCCCGCTCATTCTTCGGGGCCTTCCGCCCAAACCTTCCGCCCCTGTTCCGATCTGATCCAGGTGGGTTCCTGTGAATTGCGCAAGGGTTCCCTGGGTCTCGACGAATTCTTCCGCGCCTTCCGCGGGGGTCGGAAGGTATGGAAGGCGGAGGTGGAGGGAGGGGGGAGGGGGACTGTCATGGCGGGACCAGGATACCTCCCCTATGGTCCTGCTTCCTCTTTCAGGAAGTCCCCTGGCCCCCCTCGGCAAGAGCACAAGCCTCGGCCACGATTTGCGATCCCCCCCCTCATGGACGCCCCCCTCCTGGGCGCCCCGAGAGAGGCGGACGATGGCGCACGTGGCCGCGGGGTTAAGTCGGGCCTGTCCCTCTACAGGGGGAACATCCAAAAATAGTACAACAATTGTCTGGGGATTATGTATTGAGTATGTTTGGGCATCTTTTGAATATTGTTTGCATCTTGCTTTTTTTTTTGAAAAGCAAATCGTCAAAAATCCCCCTGTAGGGGGACTGGCCCGACCTGACCGTGGGGGGCACGGCGCAGAGGGCGGCGGCGCCCGCAGCCGGCCGGGGGGGCGCGGCGGACGGCGCGGGCGACTGCGACTGGGCCGTGCGCCTCCTGCAGCTGCCCTGGGCGCAGGCCGCTCGCGGCGCCCAGGCGTGAGCCCCCCCCCCGCCCGCCTCGCCGGATCGAAGGAGAAGCAAAGCCTCGGAGGCGACGGGGGGGCGAGATCGCAGTGCAACCGTCGGGGGGTGGACAGACCTCCTGCCCTGACACGTCGATCAGCGAACTGGCCGCCTTTCGTCCGCGAGAGGGCGTCGCGGCCGTCCTTTTTGCGGGTCCAGGTCCGTCGGTTTCGGTCCTCGGCCGTTTGCATTACAGGGAGGTTTACGAAGGAGAGGTTTGTCCACCGCCGACTCGGAGGCGATGGGGGGTGAGATCGCAGCGCAACAGAGAGGGCCCCACCGGGAAGTCGGCTTCGGTCTCGTGTCCGCGCTGTTCGCGTGCGGGCGGGGCGAGGCTGCGTGGGCAGGCAAGAGGACGAGAGGCCGCCGGTGTGGCCAGGGGTGTCCCGCCGGTGTCCCGTCGGTGGACCATGAGATCGATAGTGAGACCGATGGTGAGATCGATGGTGAAATTAATCGAGAGATCGATGGTGAGGCCGTTCGTGAGTGGTGAGATCGATAGTGGGATCGATCGAGTGAGGTCGACTGTGAGATCGATCCTGAGGTCGACAGTGAGGTCTATGGTGAGATCGGTTGAGTGAGGCGCAGGTTCCTCCAACCCCCGAACCTCCTTGCTATACGAAGGGTGGTCGTATAGGTAGCCGCACACTTTCGGAGATCCTCGCGGCCTTCTGGGATCGGCGTTGGCCGCCCTCCCCCCCCCCCGGATCGAAGGAGGAAAGCTGCACAAAGGTAGACTCTCGGCAGTCCGCGCGGACTTCTTGGATCGGCGCTGCCCCCCCCCCACTCCCTCCGCCAGGGGTGGCCCGCGTCGATCCAAGAAGTGCGCGTGGACTGCCGACAGTATGCTTGTGCCTTCTCTGGCTGCACCTCTACATTCGGACCGAGGCATAATGTCGAGGCCAGTTTGGGGATGGTATCCTGCTGTCCTCTGCACACCCTGGGGGAGGGCACCCTCGGTGACCTCACGCCTTGGGGTGTTCTGGCCGGCGGGGGGTCTCGTGCTCTTGGAGGGCAGCTTTCTGTCCAGGGCCTGGCTGTGCCACGGCCCTCGCCCTTCCAAAGAGGGATTCGCGTGCTGGCCCCTCCTCTTGGGGGCCGGCAGGCGCCGAGGCTCCGCTGTGCCGGCGAAGGCAGGCGATGTGCCCCCCCGAGGGGTGCCAGGCTGTCCGCAGGCTCGGGTCCAGGAGCGGTCGCCCGGCAGCACCCGGAGTCACTGACACGCCGTACCCACAGAATCCACGCAGACATCGGAACATCGTGTTCCGAAGAAGAAAAGTAAACGGCATGAACATAAATTGTTTGCGTTCCGCGCGGGTTTCTTGAATCCGCGCTGGGCCCCCTGGCGGAGCCTCCGGCGCTGCCCCTGGCGCGCTCCGCGCTCCAGGGAGGGGGGTCCAGCGCAGATCCAGGAATCCGCGCGGAGCGCCAAAAGTTAATGTTTCTGCAGTTTTTTTTTTTTTCTAGATACGACGTATCCGCAGAATCCACGCAGACATGGAAACATCTAGTAGAACGAACGCCGTGGCTGCCATTTTGTGGCCATACTGCCTGGGGGTCAGGAAGCTACGTGGACGTTGTAGTGTATGTTCAAGTCAGGCGCGCGCCTCCAAGAGGGACTCGTGGTATCAGCATGTCCCTCTGCGTCCCGAATCGTAGTTCCGCAGCCAGGCGAAGCGCGAACTGACGACACTTTCGTGGGCTCCTGGGAGGCACGGCGGAGTAGCAGAGTACGCGGACCCAGTGGAGACATCGCAGCTCCCTGGGGGGGTGCGAACTGTGCAACCATCGCACCATCGCCACTTTGGTGGGTTCCTGGGAGTCAGGGTGGAGTAGCGGAGTACGCGCATCCAGACGTGACGTCGCAGTTCTCTGGGTGGCTGCGAACTGAGCAATTAGCGCCACTTCCGTGGGCTTCTGGGGGCCGATAGGGTAGCGGAGTATGCGGACCCAGGCAGGACCTCGCAGTTCTTCGGGTGGTTGCGAACTGGGTTCCGAAAGTTCCTGGGAGGTCCGGCGGGGTCGGGGACCCCGCGAACCCTTTCGAGACCTCGCAACTCCTTGGGTGGCTGCGAACTGCGCAACCGTCGCCACTTGCGTGGGCTCCTGCGAGGCACGGGGGAGCTGAGGGCAGCGCAGATGTTGCATATCTGATGATAGTATGGAGCGTTCATGCAAAGATTCGCATCGCGTTGAGAAGGGGTGATCACTTGGGAATCACGTCTCGGGTATCACTTGGTGATGGGAAATCAATCGGGCTTCTGGCGCTCTGTCAGGGACAGGGCGCGCATGAAAATCCCCAACCGCAAGCCCTGGCCTCGCAAGAGCGGCGAAAGGTGGCGGAGAAGAGCGTCGACCAGGACGCGCGAATCGCCGAGCTGGAGTGGCGGCTGGCGCGGTCGGCCCAGGAGCTGTTGAAGGCTCCGCGCGGTCTCAGTTACGGTCCTCCTCCTGCTCCTCCTCTTGTTCGTGTTCCTCCTCCTCCTCCTGCTCGTGCTCCTCCTCAACCTTGCTTCTTCCTCCTCTGCGCTCCTCCTCATCCTCCTCCTCCTCCTCCTCCTCCTTCTCCTCCATCCTCTTCCCCCCTCCTCCGCAAGCTGCCCCCACGGTCGAGACCTCTGTGGCCTGCGCCAACCCACAAGAATATTGTGTCGGATTTCGGGCTGTAAAGATGTGCAGTTGAGTCTTGATGGCGCGCGTGTGAAAGCCCTCCTTAAGGCCAGCGTACTCCTAGCCATTCGAGGAAAAACGTTGTCGGATGCCAGGACGCCGAGAAAGGCGCACAGTGAAGAAGGACCACTGCGGGTTCAGGAGGTGGCTCGGGCGTCCGGGCCGCTCCTGAGACTTACGTCGTGGATCTTGCTTGTGGCCTGCAGGCCTGGCCTGGCCAGAGGAGCCCCTTCTGCTCTTTCGTGCGCGCTTCTTGCGACGGCACGACGACTGTCCACAAACTTCCGGACTTCCGCCCGCATCTGTGTGGCACTCCACCCGACAGGACGTTCGCGCGCCGAGGGGCAGGGGGCCCATCGCACGGCTTCGGAAAGGGTTCGACTTCGCCTGGGGCGACTCGAGCGCTTGGGCGGCCTGAACGGCAACCTCATCAATCGGGATCGGGGACTTGAAGACCATGGGGCTCGTCTTAGAGGCCCTGGGATGCCTCCCCACCTGGAGGCGCGCATGGGCGCCTTCTGAAAAGTTAGAAGTGAATCGCTGGAGACAACCCTTCTGGAGGCTCTTCACGGTACTCTCTGAATAATTGCCGCACACCTTACACGCAACAATAAAGTTCTCGTCTGCAATTCTGTCGAACACTAAAAGCTTGTGTCCATTTGGCTGCACCGCTAGCTTAGCCAGACGAGCAGCATTACCTGGGCACGACTTCTTGGCTCTGGCAAGCTTCGATTGGTCTGACATGCACCGCGAGTGGCAGAGACAGCAGAGCCAACGCGATTTCTGCCACGCCCACGCATGCCCGACACGGGCACGGGCACGGGTCACCCGAGGGGGGCGGGGAGGGGGAGGAGCCGCCACAGCTCCAGGGCCATGTACATCCCACGGGGGTGGAGGACAGCATAGCATCGCATTGCAGAGCCATAGGAAACAATCGGTCCCCCCCCCATCCCCTCGTCAGTATCCTCCCCTCTCGACCCTCCTGGCCTGGCTAGGTTCCAGGCGAGCGGCGGAAATATGTTTCAGACCACGTGCGAACGATATCACCGGGAGGACGCCGCCGAACGTACTTTTTTTGTTGTCTCCTTGGTGCGCTAACGTTATCGCCAGGGGGATACTGCCTGCCTCGTAGGGCTACGCGTCGACCTTCGAAGATTCACGCGCTTGGCGTCGCTCGGACACATGTGCGTTGATCCTCGCCGAGGACAATCGAGGAGCATCTTGATTCACCTGGTGGAAATTACGGGGAGCAGACGCCTGAGCGATGGCGAGCGCGGATTTCCTGGGTCGGCGCTGGACCCCCTCCAGCGGTGCGGATGGCGCTCCAGGTGCAGGGCCAGAGGCGCCGCCAGAGGAGGGAGTCGTGAGCCGACTCGAGAGGCTTGCGCACCTCCAAGTGCTTACCCAGTCTGTGCTGTTCTATCCCCTTCCTGTTCCTCCTCCCCCTCCTCCTCCCAGTCCTCCTCCTCCTCCTCCTCCTCCTCGTCCTCCTCCTGGTTTTCCTCCTCCTCGTCCTCCTCCTCCCCCTCCTCCTATCGGATGTTCGTTCTGCCGTGCTTCGCTTACACTGCTCAGTTTTATCCTCTCCCACGGCGCCTGGTGCAGCGCGAACCGCATGCATTGCACAAGCCAATGCGTCCCCACCATCATGCTTCCGCTTGCAAGAGTTGGGATGAAGGTTCCTGAACCAGCAATTGTTCTCCCTTGCATGCGCCTGGTGTACAAGCGGCAAGACCTTTCTAGCCTGGGGCCAAGCCTTGCAGAGGCTTCATGCTCGGGCTGTTTCTGAGAGTGCGCTCAGGTGGGCCATTGGCGGAAGATGGTATGCTCTTTGTTGGCACATGTTTCGCGCCATCGTCGAATATCTATTCATGCTCGACCCTTCTGACCTCTCCCGCTTTGGACCTCTCTCACTCATTCCTCTCCTAACCGAGCAGCTCCGCAAGGCCGCCATAAGGCCCACACAGACGCTCTGCTCGAAGCAAGCAGGGCGATCGCGAAAAAGATCTCTCCGCATTTCCAGGTTCACTATTCCAGCTCTCTGCAGGTGCAGAGCACCCCAGACTCCCATTACCCAGCTTACCGCTCGCCGTCTCACCTCCTGGCTCCCCGCCTACCCAAGGCCTCCTCTGCATAAGCTTCACCTTTGGGTGGCGCCGCCTGAGGAGCACTTTGGCCTCGCAGGTGCCTTCCCGAGCCTGTAGTGGCAGAATCAAGATTTTAGCACAGATCAGGTGCAGGTTTGGATGCGCCTCACCTGATGCTCTATCGCACTACTTTGTCTGCGAACTTCCTCTGGAAGGCCGCCGAGATGCACCCCCCGTCCCTGCTCCCCGAACCTCTGGTTCGTCTAGGATCGGGGGTGAGTCTGACTACGAGAGAGTGGTGACCGGACGGCTTCGCATTCACAGAAGTTTCATTTTTCTTTACTACACGTAAGAGTGGCTTTTCGCCGGAGTGATCTTTGGTGCGGGCCTAACAGGGTCCCCCGATCGTTGATCGCGAAGCGGTAGCAGCGTCTTGCGCGCTTGTGGGTTGGCCCTCACGCGGCCCCCGAAACGCCGCGCACCAAAGGTCACTCTTGCCCAGGGTCACCCTTGCGTGTAGGCCGACTTTTCACACCAGATCTATTTTAATCTTCGGCCCAGCGTGGTTCAGCACGAGATAGCGTCGCGTTTGCTCCTCGCGCGGCTTCGTCACGCTGCTCGCGCGCGCACTGCAAACATTGTGCAACCATGACATTCTCGCCGAGGCCGCGTGCGCTCCCCCTCCTTTTCCTCCCACTTCAGCACCGAGCAAGCAAGATTCGACGGCACGGTGTCATGTCTTCGGCCTCGGAGGCCCCCGGACCGTCAAGAAGCGACTCAGGATGATCAGCTGGCCCTGGGGGATGTTCGAGATCCACGGGTGGCCACGCCACAAAAAAGGAGTTCGGCGTCGGCGATGAGGGTCCTCCCGCCCCGTCCTCAGCCTCCTCCTCCTCCCCTCTCGTCCTCCTCCCTCTCATCCTCCCCAGGGCCCCGCGGTGGTCAAGGAGATGTTTGCGGAGACCTTCGGCACCACCCCGGAGGATCAGGGCAAGCTCGGTCCCTGGAGCCCTCGGGGATGCCTCTGCACCCCAAGGGCAGCAATGGGCGCCTAGCCGAGCGACTGGACGGGGGCGCGAAATCTGCCGGTGTGAGCAGAACAAGAGATATGTAGGCATGATTGTTCTAGGCCTCAAGGGTGGGGTCGAAGTAGACGTGGTCGGAGGATGGCGCCGCATCGCCGATGCATCGCCGATGCGGCTCGATGTGGGTCCCGATTTGCTTCACGTCGACGTCGCCGATGCGTCGCCGACCTCGACGATGCATCGCTGGTGCATCGCCGATGTGTCGCCGATGCATCGCCAGTGTATCGGCGATGCGGCGCGATCCGCCGACCCCATCTACTCCGACCCCACCTGGGAGGCTTCCCATAATTGTTGGGGGGTTCTCTCGAGCTTCTCGGGTGGGCGCTGGACCCCTCTTATCCTTTGGCGGCGCCCCCAGCGTCTCCCCTGTCTCGCTGCGCACGCCGGGCGAAGGGCGCGGGAAGGGGGCCCAGCGCCGACACCGGGATGCCGCGCGGACCTCCGACCTGCTGTGTGTGTGCATGCAGCTCCGTGTGTGTTCTGGCGAGCCAAACACTGAGCATCACCATCGGTCAGAGCCCCGAATCATCAGGGGTAACTCGGGTCAGGGATAACTCGGGTTCGTTTTTCGGGAATCCAAACCCGACTTACCCCGGACCCGAGTTACCCCGGATAACTCGGGCGTCCAGAGCCCCGAATCATCAGGGGTAACTCGGGTCAGGGCTAACTCGGGTTCCTTCTTCGGGAATCCAAACCCGACTTACCCCGGACCCGAGTTACCCCGGATAACTCGGGCGCCCAAATCGGCATTGGCCAGGTCCATCTTTATCCCCCGCATTTGTGTATAGCCGCCAGTCGCTGAGTTCTATCAGGTGTTCCTTAGCCGTCTGCCCAGCTGTTTTTTCCCATGGCACGGAGGCCAGCTAGAATCGTCTGCCCCGCGGCTGTTTTCCATGGCACGGAGGCCAGCCAGTGCTTTGGCCCGTGCCCAGCTTCCAGGTTTTCGTCGCGCACAGGCGACCCTCACGTCCTGTCCTATTCGAGGTTGGGTCCACAGCCTCAGCAGCGATGAGCGGTTGGCCCCGCCACGCGTTCGCTCGCTCTTTCTCATTGCTCCTCATTCTTGCTTCACCCCTCCTGCTCGTTCTTCCTCCTTCTTCCGTCCCTTCTCCTCCCTCTTCCATCCACCTGTTCCCCCCGCCTTCTCCGTCCATCCTCCTCCCTCATTCCATCCCTACTCCTACCTCATGCTCCTCCCTACTCCCTCGTACGCAATTTCTCGTGATCGTCACGTTCATCATCAACCTCATCCTTTCTGCTATCCTCATCCACATCAAACTCATCGTCATCATCCTCATCAGCATCATCATTATCACCGCCATCATCATCACCATCACCCTCACCACCATCAGTATCATACACACCTTCGGCAGCATCCCCCTCATCTCCCTCTTCATCTCCATACTCAACATCATCATCACCATCCTCATGGTCATCATTCCTTATTATCTTTCTCATCTTCTTACTTCCCGTGCTCTGCCGACTTCCCCTTGTGATCCCCCTCCTTCTCACACTCCTTGGTAACTCCCTCGCCTTCCACATCACCGATCTCAGTATCCTCCTTCTCCTCCTCATCCGCTTCTTGGTTTTTCGATCCACTTTGGCATGTTGCAGGCGTTATGTTTCCTAGACTAAGCCTACGTTGGCCGACCTCATGCAGGCCCCGTGTAAGGTGGCTCGATCCCGGACGGCCAAGGGTAGACTGACGTTTTTGTAGGATGGCCGTCACTTAGCGACAGGGGCTGTCATGCCAGATGATATTACAGTGACGCAAGCAGTGATTGAGTTTACACATTCACCCCCACGGGGCCAGTTTTTGTCCGATGCGGATGCTCTGCAGCTGGCCACGAAGTTAGGTGGTTGCTGCTGATGCTTTGTTTCAAGCGGGGCTGCTGCTTCCGGATGAACGAATCTCTTCCTCAGCGGGCATCGGGGGCACCCACATGGTGTGGAGACCACACTGTGTGGTGAGTCAGTGGGGATTCGGAGTGACCGCACGGTTTTGGGAATTGGGCGAGATTCCCAAGGAAGCCTAGGGCGCCTGGGGCCTCCAGGGTTCCCAAGCCGTGCGGTGACGGACCGTGCGGTGAGGTCTGGGGGTCCGAGGTCACCGCACGAGATCCGCTACCGCACCGTTTCGGGACCCGAGAAGGTACTCTCACACGTTGCTGCTTACAAGCGCGTGGAACAGCCGGGGTTCCTTGCGCGCTTCCGCCACGGCGGGTAGATGCGTCCGGCGCACGTGATGTTTCATTTTGCCCGCTCGGTGAACTCAGCTTCCCACCCAGCGATTTTGCGCGCGGGCAGCCTGACGGCGGCGCGAGACTTCTCCTGCGCGACCGGCCTGCTATGGCACGGCAGGGCTGCGCTCGTGATCGGGATCGCTCGTGCTCGGTGCGGCCGGCGGTCGTCGCAGGTGCAGACAAAGAGGGCCCGAAGGAGGAGGAGGAGGAAGGAGGAGGAGACGGGAGGGAGGAGGAGGAGGAGGAGGAGGCGGGAGGGAGGAGGAGGAGGAGGAGGAGGTGGGCCCGAAGGGCCAGGCTCACCGCTCTCCCTGGAGGCGGGGCGGGGGGGGCCCGAGGCTCGCTGGCCCACCCAAGCCCTCCCCGCGCCCCGTGGCGCGGGTGCCCGCTGTCTCGCCAAGGGGGGGGGTGCAGCGACGCCCCGCCTCCAGCAGCGGACCCCTCGCCAGCGAGGATGGTCCAGGTCCTCCTTTGCCTTCTCCTCCTCCTCCTCCTCCTCCTCCTCCTCCTCCTCCTCCTCCTCCTCCTCCTCCACCGCCTCCTCCTCCTCCTCGGGTGCCCCGCCGGGCTGGAGAGCATCCACGGGCGGAACCCATGTCGATCCGATCGATCCGCCCCGACACCAACGTCGACCTGATCGATCCGATTCGACCTCGATGTCCTGGAGGGCCCCTCTCCAGCGAGGAGGTCCAGGGTGCCCTACCGGGCGGGAGCATCCACAGGCGAAACCCGTTAGGATCCGATAGATCCGCCCGACACCAATTACGTCCAGATCGATCCGATTCGATGTCGATGCCCTGGAGATCCCACACGGCCAGATGCTTGCACGGCGCTGCTGTTCATCCTGGCGCAGCCGGCCTGGTTCGACTTCTATCCAGTGGCGCTGCAGCCCGATCCGTTGCGAATTTCGATTCGATCTGATGTACTGACTCGATGCTGACTGATCCTAGGGTGTTTGAAGGGGGGCCACTCCGCTGGGAGGGCCCTCCCCAGCTGCTCGCGCTGGTGGTGGTGAAGCTGGATCTCCTTGCTTTTCTCTTCGGCCATATGGCCCGCTCGGAGAGAGAGAGAGAGAGAGAACAAAAAGAAACATTCACTGCGTGGAGCTCCCCATGTGTGCATCTATTCGCATGGACCTGTCCGCCGTGAATGTCTAGGCGCAAGAGTTTTCGAATATGAACGGGCTTGAGTTGTGACGGTCTGGTCATGAGTCTAACTGCGAATGAATTAGAGTGTGAATGAGCCTCAGTAGTACGAGCGCGTCTCTGCGCATGAGCCTGGGGCCTCCTGGGGCCTCCTGAAACCTACTGGTGCTTCCTGGGGCCTCCAGGAGCCTCTTGGGGCCTCCTGGGGCCTCCTGGTACCCCCTAGGGAGGATCCGTGCCCCAGGAGAGGCCCAATCTATAGCAGCAGACGTACATAAAGCATTCCGGGTTGGAGCCGCAGGAGAAAGCCAATCTATGTGTGTATATATATATACATATATGAACCATGTAAAACACCAAGGACTCCTGCCCCAGGAGAGGCCCAACATATAGGAACATTCGTAAAACATTAGGATTGTGTACACAGGAGAAGGACAATATGTAGAAACATACGTATAACATCAAGGACTCGTGCTCCAGGTGAGGCCCAATATATAGGAGCATACGTAAAACACATGGGAGTGGAACCACTCCTGTTGCCTTCTGAGGCCTCCTGCTCCTGGGGCCTCTCGGGGCCTCATGTTTCCTTCCGAGGCCTCCTGGCGCTTCCTGTGGCCTCCTGGGGCCTCCTGTGGCTTCCTGAGGCCTCCTGGAGCTTCCTGGGGCCTCATGGAGCCGCTTGGGACATCCTGTGGCCTCTTGAGTCTTTCTCTAGCCTCCTTATGCCTCCTGGGACCTCATGTGGCCTCCTGGGGCCTCCTGGAGCCTGTTGGAGCCTCCTGTGGCATCCTGGGGGGAATCTGTGCCCACGAGCCTGGCCACCATAACAGGCAAACCGATCGAAACATCCTCGAAATCTGGCCCTCCTGGGGGGTGAAAATGAGCGCCTCGCTCGAGGCATCCCCAAAATCTGCTCCGAAAGCGAAGGACGCTGAGACAGAAAACAAGCAAAACGCTAGAGACATCCCCACAAACGGCCGCGACCGGGACCGTGAAAACACCTCTGGTGGCTGCCCTTGGGGGTGCTGAAACCAGCGCCCCGCCTGAGACATCCTCAGAATCTGCTCTGATAGCCAAGGATGTTGACACAAAACAGGCAAACCGCCTGAGACATCCCCACAAAATTGCTGCGACCGGGACCGTGAAAACACCCCTGGCGGCTCCCCCTTGGGGTGCTGAAACCAGCGCCAAACCTGAGACATCCTCATAATCTGCTCTGATAGGCAAGGATTTTGAGACAGCAAACGGGAAAACCGTTTGAGACATCCCCACAAAATTGCTGCGACCGGGACCGTGAAAACACCCCTGGCGGCTCCCCCTGGGGGTGCTGGAACCAGCGCCTCGCTTGAGACGTGATCAGAGTCTGCTCTGATAGCCAAGGCTGTTGAGACAGAAAACAAGCAAACCGCTTCAGACATCTCCCCACAAAGTTGCTGCGAACGGGACCGTGAGAACACCCCTGGCGGCTCCCCTTGGAGGTGCTGAAACCAGCGCCCCGCCTGAGACATCCTCAAACTCTGCTCTGACAGCCAAGGATGTTGAGACAGAAAACAAGCAAACCGCCTGAGACATCCCCACAACATTGCTGCGAACGGGACCGTGAAAGCACCCCTGGCGGCTCCCCTTGGAGGTGCTGAAACCATTCCCTCTCCTGAGACAACCTGACAATCTGCTGTGTGTTGAGTAAGTCAGACAATGAGAAAGTCTGAGTATGAGTAGGTCTGAGTAGGAGTAAGTCTGTGTATGAGTACGTCTGCGAACGAGTCTGAGTATGAGTAAGTCTGGGTATGAGTAAGTCCAAGTGCGAGGAAACGAGCTGTACCGCAAAGAATGTACACGAGTACGAGTGGGAGTGGGTATGACGTATGACTGGATATGGATTTGAGTGGGTGTGAGCTTAGTGTGTCATGAAGAAGTCTGAGTATGATTAGGTCTCGGTATGAGTAAGTCTGTGTATGAGTAAGTTTGGGTATGAGGAGGAGAAGAAGAGGAGGAAGGAGTAGGAGGCGTCCAAGTAATAGCAAGAACCCCATCTTAGGGTATGATGAAAAAAAGAAGGAGAGAGAGAGAGAGAGGGAGAACGAGAGAGAGAGAGAGTCCTCTCGTCTTCAGATGTTTCAGCCTACTTTGGGTTCAACCACCAGAAAGAATTTCGAGTACCAAGCAAGCATCGAAATTTGAGGGTTTTCACGTGTCGAGCCCTGGGAGGCGATACTCGTCCGACGTTTCGCCAGCGTGTCGGGCAGACACGGTTTCTTTCTTTCCTGAATGCTCGAAGAATTGAATTCTCTGTTGTGACCCTCTAGTACGATGGGAGCAACATAACTCTCGTCGAGGATTCGAGGGCGTCGAGGATTCGAGGGGTGGACGGCGGGGGCCAGCGGAACCGCAGGGAGCAGATCATACAGGCGGCTCCGGCGGCGGAAGTTGGCGGGGTCTCGAGAAGAGCTTGTGGGATCCGGCGGCAACGGCAGGGGGGGAATGGGCTCCGGGGGGGGCGTCGACCCCCCATCGCCCCTTGGTCCATCGATCGCCGATGGGGGCCCGATGGCCCGCCCCACCCAGGGAAAGCGGACTCGCTACCGGGGTCCTCTCGCCGATCGAGCAGCTATAGATCGCCGGTTCCGGCTCGATGCTCCCCTGCACCCGGGCCCGCTCCCCCTCGGGCGTTGCCCCGCAAGGGAAGACGCCTGTGGCATAGCAGTGGCCGCCATCCAGGGAGGAGGCCAACCCTTGCGGGCTCCTGGTTTCAGGAGCCGGGGCGGGCCCGGCCTGGAGGCCTCTGCGGGGCGTTGGGCGGCCAAGCCAGCCGAGGAGCCCAGTCCTCGATACATGGGCGCCTCCCGGCGCCGGGAGGCGCCGGGAAAATCGGCTACGTGAGCTAATTCACAAACCCCCCTTTGCTATCCCCCCTTTCGCCCAGCTCGAGAGAGGGAGGAAACCAGCAAAGCGTTAGAGATCGGTGAGGGGTGGTTGCTTTTTGGGGGCCGTCGCAAGACTAGCTATTGTTGTGGAGGACGATCAATGGAGAGGAACCATGTTGCCAAATAATTTCCAGGTGTCTAAACAATGTGCTAAAACTGCTTCAGACATGCAAAACCATGTTTTTTGTTTATTAAACATGTCCTGGGCATTTTCCGACATGTGAAGCACATCTTCAGTTCGATGACAGGGCTGCTGGGGTGTCCGTTGTCGTGGCATCCGCAAAGCTATTGATGGGGGGGGGGGACGAGCACGGGACGGACGCGGGGAGGAGGAGTTGCGTCTTTGGACCGCGTATGGCATGGGCGGACCCTCGGGGCAGTGCCGCCCCGTCGCGAGCGCCGTCCACCCCAGGAGGCCCACTGGTCTGCGCAAGGGGGGAGGAGGCCAGAGGTGCGAGAAGGATAGGAGGGGGAGCACGAGGAGGAGGAGGAGGAGGAGGAGGAGGAGGTACAGGAGGAGGAGGAGGAGGAGGAGGAGGAGGAGGAGGAGGAGGACCAGGAGGACCAGGAGGACCAGGAGGACAGGGAGGACCAGGAGAAGGAGGAGGAGGAGGAGGAGGAGGAGGAGGAGGGGGAGGAGTAGGAGACGGAGGATGCTGATGATGATGATGATGGTGATGATGATGCTGATGATGATGTTGGTGCTGATGCAGATGCTGATGCTGATGCTGATGATGATGATGATGATGATGATGATGGTGATGATGATGATGATGCTGATGCCGATGCTGATGTTGATGCCGATGATGATGGTGATGATGATGATGATGATGGTGATGATGATGATGATGATGGTGATGGTGATGGTGATGGTGATGATGATGATGATGATGATGATGATGATGATGATGATGAGTAGGAATTGTGTAGGTGGTCGGTCTGGTGATAGCAGCGCATGGGTAACAGCACTGGCTGCTGCAGAGGTGGCAGAGATGGTGGTGGCAGTGTAGGTAGTAATGGCAACAAACAGTAGCGGTGACAGCGGCAGTGATGGATGGTGGCGGTGGTAGTGATTACTGATTCTATTCGGACGTTGGTCGAAACATCGTGTTCACCATGTTTGTGATGCTGCGGCCAGCGCCTTGGAGGAACGTGCCGATTTCGGCCAGACTTTGGCCGTTGAGTGGCCTCACGCCTTCGTGCCCCCGCTCCCCTTTTCTCGCTTGTGTTACAGCCGCCCATGTCGAGCATGTCTTTGCGCGCTCACTTGTTTGCATGCTCGCTCCCCAGCACATCCCCAGTAGCTCATCATGGGGGCTCTCTTTGTGTCATCTTGGGCGTCTTGGAGGCCATGGTGGGGCCATTGATTGAGCGGGGAAGCCGCCGGAGACCACTCTTTCTGGGTGGTCGGAGGCATCGGCGGACGCCCACTGAGAACATTCTGGAAGGTCAAAAAATCGATCTAGCTATTCGGCATGCCAAGCAGCCTTTTGCAAGCATGAAGAGGCTGCGGATCGAAGACGCCTACGGCGAATCACCGCCGCCCCCTGTCTTTTGGAAGCGCCCATGCGGCCAAACGTTTGGCCGAAGTCTTGCCAAGCTGTTGGGGGTACGCATTAGGAGAGAATGAGGACAAAGGAGCAGCGGAAGAAAAAGGAGGAAGCGAAGCATCAGGGGGAGGAGGAAGAAAAGGATGCCTATTGAGGCCCTCTTGGGCCTCCTGGGAGCTTCCCAGGGACCTCTCTCTGGGTGGACTCCTCGGGGGCCTCTGAGCGGCCATTCGGGGCCCCTTGGGGACCTCTTGGGGGCCTCTGGGGGGCTATGGGTCCTCTTGGCCTTCGGAGTCCGTCCTGGGGCCCTCTATGAGCAGTCGTGGGTCCTTCTCTGGTCGCGGTAGGGCTGTCTTGGAGGTCAGTGTGGCCGTCTTGGGGTCCTCTTGGGCCGTCTTGCGGGCCTCTTGGAGGCCTCGTGGGCCGTCTTCAGGCGACCTCTGGGGCCTATGAGGCCGCCTGGGAGCGTCAGAAGTCAGAAAAGGCGGCAACGCTAAACTCATTGAACAACCAGAAGCAACATCAACGAGTGTGGCTCATGGATGTCCTCCTCGGGGCCCTCGTGGGACGTCTTGAGAGAGCCTCCTGAACCATCTGCAAGGCATCTTGATCTGGCTTGGATCCACATTGGCAATCCTGAAGGCGTCTTGGGAATGCCCTGGGCTCTCCTGGGGCCATCCGAGCTGTCCCAGAGGCCATCTCGGAAGCCTTGCTTGGAGGCCACCTTCGGCGAGACGGGTGACGGAAGTCTCTCCTTCCGCGCGGCCAGCGCGATCGGCCGAGACCCTGATTGGGAGCCTCGAGCAAGAACCAGAGCCCTCCGACTATTCGGCACGCCGCGCACCCCTGTGGCAAACCTACAGTGGGCAGCGGACCACATCGTGGCCTCCAGCCCCTCACGCCAACATGGTCGGGTCATGAGCCAGGGCCCGCTTCTTGGCCTCTTGGGTCTCTTTGGTGGCCTCTTCGGGGCCTGCTGGATGCATCCCTGCGGTCTCCTGGAGGTATCTTGGGGGCCTCCCCGGGAGCTCCTCGGGGGCCTTTCGGGGGGGGCTCGCGCCGTTAGTTATCCGTAAACAGTACTACAACCTCATATGCAGTTGTATGGTGCTGGTGTTGTAGTTGTGGTGGCAGCGATAGTGTTACCTGTATGTGTGGTACGTCTTTCTTTCCCGCTCTCCCCCGTTACCCTCCTTCCTCGTTCATTCCCCCTATCGCTCCTTCTCCGTCGCCCATAGCTCGTTCTCTATTCCACATCTTTTTGGCCACATCCGACCTTCTCTGCCTCATTCCTGTCTTCCCATCCAGTAGGTCTTGCCGATCCCCATATTCCCCCCCCCTCCCCATGTCACAAGTTTTGCTGCTGACCGTCACGGATGAGCTGCCAACATGCCACACCTTGCTAGCAGCACACAAGTATAGCTACTTCGGTCTACAACCTACACAATATCGACTACGATTGCGGCTGCTGCTGTTACGGGGCTCTGCGCAGAGGCGGCCTGACAACATCATAGCAAATTCGTCGTTCCCTAGCGCATGCGCGGACCAAAGCGGGAAAGGAGGAGCAGGAGCTTGGGGCAGTTTTTTGTCCATCAGGAGCACATTCGCGGGCACGCTGTTGCACGGTCAGTACACGAAGGGTTCCGCAACGTTCCGCTCCGATTCTATCACGACCATCAGCGTCCTCAAGGACCTGATCACGCGGGAGGCTTGCAGCCAGCAGGAGGTGGCAGGAGGACGTGCAAGGTGCAGTGCACGCGCGCCTTTTGAAGAGAAAGTGCGCATCCAGGTTGGACATCAGACTGTCGGCAACTAACTGTACAGAGAGAGAGAGAGATAGAAAGAGACAGAGAGCGGTATGCGCAGGCTGATGTTGACTGCGTCTCCCCCTCAACGGTTCAGTGTTGCCCAGCGCAGCAGCACCCTGCTGGATCTGGGGGGCTTCGTGGGAAGTCCGGCGATTCGGGGTGCGTCTTCGTTCAAAACGTTCTCGCCCGCGTGCCAGGGTGCCCAAGCCAGAAAGAGGACTGCGACCTCTTTCTAAGGAAACTCACGCACGAGCTTCCCAGCGGGGGACGCCTTTTGGGGGCTCGTGGTCGTCCGACCGGTTGCCGTCAAGACAACCTTCTGACGGAATGCAGATGGGCATTTGCCAACCAACATGTCGGTTGTGATCCCTCATCTTCGGATGCCTGGGGTCGGCGTGTGTGGGCATCGCGCCAAGTTTGGCTAGAGTTGCTGGATCCTGATGGGGCCCGAACCCATTGTGCTTCTCGCGCTCCCCCCCCCCCGAGCGCCGCCCAAGCCACGCAGAAACACGGTGTCGTCTTCACCAACATTGGCGCGTAAGATCCCCGCACAACAGAAGCCACCGCGCTGGTGACTAGCGTGCAGCGTGCCGCGCTGGCGACCCGCGTAAGCCACCGCGTAAGGTCGCTATGCCATCTCGCGCAAGACCCGTTTCAGGTCGTCGCTCAAGCGGGGTCCGTGTGGGCGGGGTCGGAGGATCGCGCCACACCGCCGATGCATCTGCGGTGTGGCTCGGTCTGGAGCTCGAAGTTCTCCACGCCGGCATCGCCGATGCATCGACAACGTCGCCGATGCTCCGCAGATGCATCGGCGGTGTGGCGCGATCCTCCGACCCAATCTACTGGGACCCCAATGTTGGAGTCCTCTATTGTTCCCTAGGGCAGGTCTGCGGAATGGTGGTCCGTCGGGTGGCCCAGTTTTCTGAGAGTTTCTCCGACTCCTTATCCCTGTCTTGCGTTCCCTCCCTTCCTTTATGTTTCGCATTCTCTCGCTCTCTCTCTCTCTCTCTATCCTTCTCCCGCCCTCTCTCTCTTTATCCCTCCCTCCCTCCCTCTCTCGCTCTCTCTCGCCATAAAGGGTTTCTCTTGCTTTCTTTCTCTCGCTCTCTCTCTCTCTCTCTCTTTCTCTCGCTTTCTTTCTGCATAACTCGTTTGAATAGCTGCATGGTGGCTCACGGAGTCTCGCTGTCCTCTCGCATTATATAGATGGATATATGGGCTTCGCCCCCTACCGCCGGCCCCCTCTCTCGGAGAATGGGCCATGGAAGAGCGAAGTCATGAGGCTTTGGCTTCGCCGTGAAGCAGTGTCGCGACGTGTTTTTTTTGTTTACCCTGACCCTGCCGATCTGCGTGAGGGGTGCCGCCTAATTTCAGAAATGTGGCAAATCCCGTGTGTTTTTGGACCCTGACCCTACGGATCTGCGTGAGGGGTGCCGCCGGATTTCAGAAATGTGGCAAATCCAATATTTTTTGGACCCTGACCCTGCCGATCTGCGTGAGGGGTGCCGCCGAATGTCAGAAATGTTGCGTATCCCATGTGTTTTTGGACCCTGACCCTGGCGATCTGCGTAAGGGGTGCAACTTAATTTCAAAAATATTGCAAATCCCTTGTGTTTTGGAACCCTGACCCCGCCGATCTGCGTGAGGGGTGCCACCGGATTTCAGAAAAGTGGCAAATCCCATATGTTTTTGCACCTTGACCCCGCCGATCTGCCTGAGGGGTGCCGCCGAATAGCAGAAAAGTGACAAAGCCCTTCTGTTTTTGGACCCTGATCCCGCCGATCTGCGTGAGGGGTGCCGCCGAATTTTTGAAAAGTGGCAAATCCAATATTTTTGTTGGACCCTGACCTGCCGATCTGCGTGAGGGGTGCCGCCTAATTTCAGAAATGTGGCAAATCCCATATGTTTTTGGACCCTGACCCTGCCGATCTGCGTGAGGGGTGCCGCCGAATTTCTGAAAAGTGGCAAATCCCCTATGTTTTTGGACCCTGATCCCGCCGATCTGCGTGAGGGGTGCCACCTAATTTCAGAAATGTTGCAAATCCAATGTGTTTTTGGACCCTGACCTCGCCGATCTGCGTGAGGGGTGCCACCGAATTTCAGGAAAGTGGCAAATCCCATATGTTGTTGCACCCTGACCCCGCCGATCTGCGTGAGGGGTACAATTTTTTACCCGCCCCAGCACTTCAGACAATACGATTTGGGCGTTGTAGAAATGCCTGTTTTGGGCCTCCCCCCCTCGCGCGTTCCATCAACAAGGGACAGCAAGCAGCAAGAAGTCAACAAGGAACAGTAAGCAGCAAGAAGCAGAACTGTAACAGTGGAAACTGGAAGCTGCAACTGGTACAGGAAACTGCGAACCTCCGGCCTACAGCATGGTGGCCCCACAAGGGGGCCGGCGGATATATCCATATACGTAGAGGGAGAGGGAGAGAGAGACAACAAGAGAGATAGAGAGAGAGATAGCCCTCAGCACGCACCATGACCCGGGTTTGTGCACTATCTGTGAATGTATACTTGATCCGTGCGTTGTTCGCATTCGGCTGTGGAGGCTCGTTGTTGTTCAGCAGTTGTTCGGTCAAAGTAGTCCACCGCTTCCCCCCCGAACACCACACCCCATACTCAAAAGGCCCCCTCCCCGTCGAACCGCCTTCTACGCAGTCCCCTCCGTCTCCGACACAACGCCCAGTACTCCACAGCTTCCATCCCCAACACCACACCAAAGACTTCACAGACTCCCTCCCAAAAGTGGGCTTGAAAAGCTCCCTTTACTCAACTCCCGCCGCCTCCAACACCGCGCCAAGTACTCACAGCCTCCGTCTCCAACACCACTTCCTGTTCCCCGTGTGCATTCAGGAGGAAAGAGGGGGTTCATGGTGCACCATGAACTCCATTCGCGCTCTTTGTTTACGGATACATGTATGACTCCTACGGTGTTTGTGTTCATTTCTGGAGGCGCATTTTTCCAAGAGTTGCTCGATTCCAGTACTCCAATGCCTCCGTCCCCAACACCACACCTAATGCTCAACAGACGCCCTTCCCTTGATGAACTTGAGAAGGTCCTTCTTCTCAGCTCCCTCCGTCTCCACCACCACGCCCAGTACTCCACTGCTTCCGTCTCCAGCACCACGCCCAATACTCAGGAGGCTCCCTCCCCACGACGAGCTTGAAAAGCTCCGTCCGCTCTACTCCCTCCGTCTCCAACACTTTGCCCAGTACTCCACAGCCGCCGTTTCCACCACACCCAAGACCCAAAAGGTTCCATTCCCACTATGGGCTTGAAGAGATCCTGCTTCCTTCTTCTCAACTCCTCCGACTCCGTCTCCCACACCACTCCCTGTAATCCACAGCCTCCGTATCAAACACCAGACCTTTTTTTCTCCTTGTGCGCTTCCATGAGGACAGCGGGTGTCACGGTGCGTGCTGAGATTGATGTATCTATGTGCGTGTGTGTGTGTGTGTGTGCAAGTGGCACAGCGACGAGGGCAGCAGCACGACGTTTCGTGGTGGTGGTGGCACCGGGAGCTGGACATGCGTGGTGTGGTAGGCCTTGGCGAGGGCGGGACACGTATAGCGTTCGGCCCGCATGGCAATACGAATTGGCCGTCCGCATGCGCATCCGGCAAGTCGCCTCCGCACGTCCCGCGTGTGTATGCAGCCCCGTGTGTGTCCAACTGCTCGGGCATAGAGGAACGAATGCATGGGCAAGATCTGCCTTCTTCGCCCCCGACGGCGGTCCCCGCACGTGCTTCTTCATGGCCTCCCAACGGGATCACAAATGTTTCCGTCGCGCCGTTTCCGGTTGACTTTTTAGCGAGGCCCGTCACGAGACGCCTCATCCCAGAAATTTGCGGGCGCAGTGAGAGACAAAGGAAGGCCCGGCGGAAATTGACGGACGTGGAGACTGCATGCCCACGGGGTGTTCAGAGTTGCAGGAACGGGCCATGTGGTCTCGTGGACTCCCATTCCGCAAGACGTGGGTGGGGGGGCGGTGGAGTTCAGGTGGCCCCTCGATCCGGCTTCGCGCCCCCGCATCCGTCCTCGCTCAGCTGCGGATGGCTGCGATGCCGCGACTGGCCAGCCGCGGTTCGCTTCGCGGCCTTTCACTCGCCGTGGTCTCCTCTTGGCCCCCTGTGGCTCTCTCGCTATCCTCTCATACCCCCGCGCTGTGATTGACATGCTTGACAATGCGTTCCTGTTTCGCTCACTTTTTTTTGTTGTTTCCATATTGACGTTGAGACTTGTTCGTGGTTTTCGGCATCCTGAAAGCAGCGTGGAGCGGGCGGAGGGCTGCGACCAACAGGGTGGTGAGGACAGAGCATGGAGAGAGACGTTCTGGATGACCAGCCTGGATGACAGCATGATCAGTGGACAACCCAAGGGACCAGGGCCGAGAGGAGAGCCGCGGGACCCCAAGACCCAGCGTGGGCAGCAGGGGGAGAGAGATCGAGAGAGAGAGAGAGAGAGCCCAACCGAGAGAGACACTTAGGGAGGGGGCTACGCGCACAGCATCGGCGCGGGTGTGTAGAAGCGCCCGCCCTGTAGATTCGACTGCCGGATCCTATACGCAGCATCCTCTCACCTTGGAGTGAGGTGGCGCCTCCCTGGCGCGGGGTACAGCGTACAATTAACCGAGGCTTCATCTGCAAACTCGGGGGTGGGAGGGAGATTTGATGGTGGTTTGTGGATTGGCATTGTCTTGGATGGGGAGCGAGTGGAGGGGAGATGAGCGATTGAATCAAGAGGGAGAGGGAGAGAGGGAGGGAGAGAGAGAGAGAGAGAGAGACAACAAACCAAAAAGGAGGAACGAGACAGAGGTAGGATTGGTCGAGGTGTGGCCAGGGTTGGCTGGACAATGTTCGGGGCTTCGCTCCCACAGTGTTGATCAGAGTTGGCGGTGAGGGGAGTGGACGGATTAGCATTGGCGTCTGTGCAGGAGCCAGTTCGGTTAGCAGCAGATGGAGTCCGGTTGCATCACAGAGGTAGCGCCGACGCGTCCAAGAGGCCACGGCTAAGAAGATTCAGCTCAAGATCGACGTGGAGGTGAAGGACATTCAATCCCCACGCGACGACGAAAGCTTCCACGGTGGCCATTCACGTTTGCGATTTCAGCTTGATGTCTTTCTTCCGCCTTGCTCGTCCGCTACAAGTGCGTTCGTATCTTTTGGTGGTGTTTCGTCTTCTCAGGTCGGTTCCAGGTCTTGAGCGCTGAGCGAGCGTCAGCTCCTTCTCCTTGGAATATTGATCACCGCTGTTCTCGCCCCTGAGCAGAACCAGGGTGCACCACGCTGCTTCCTCCTGCGCCTGCAGGACCTAGGATCGCTAGTGACTTGCCGTGTCAGCGCGAGACCAGCGTCAGAAGGGGCCCAAGATGGCGGGGCGCTGGAGGAGACGGACGGGGAGGAGGGTGTGCTCCCGTTTGCGTTGTCGGTGGCCCAGCCGCCCTGTCTCCCGATGCTCGCCACAGCGTCTTGTTTCCCCTACGAGCTCGACTTCGGACCGCCCTGGGATCGCGGGTGCCGCCTACAGCCAAGAGGCTGACATAAGGAACAGTTTTGGTTTGGAAGGGGCTCGATGTTTCGTAGGTGCTTCATGGTTGTTTCTCGAGCGCTTCTCGTCCATGAAGGCGTTTCTTGGACCAAGAAGGGCTTTCGTTCCTTATCCAGTATTGCGTTCTTCGGCAGCCTAATTGTACCCGACTCCCGGGGTCCGTTCCCGTCGAGGAGCGGGGAGCGGGGAGCAGGAGCAGAAGCAGGAGGAGGAGCGGGGGTTGGGAAGAGGGTGATGATGAGGGGGTAGGGTAGGGGTGGCGTGAGGAGCAGGAAGGATCAAGCTAAGGTGTTGGAGCAGGAAGAAGCTGGAGGATTAGGAGAAGGAGGCGGGTGAGAGCGGAAGCTGATGATGCAAGAGGCACGATGCAGCAGGCAGGATACCCGAGACACAAGGCACGCAGGGGTCAACAGCGTCGCTCATCCATCGTCGTCCATGGCTGGCGATGTGCAATTCGCCGTCAGACAGCACGCTGTTGTGGTCCGTTCTGTCCGATGGACCCCCCTCCCTCTTCATGGCCTCCCGGGGTGCGCCTGCGACGCATAGGACGAGACCTTCCCACGGTTCCTGGAGCTGATCCACCCGAAGCTCGAGTTTCAGCATTCACTAACACAGCAGGTGTTCGCGATCGGAAGTGTTCGACCTCTTTTCTTTCAGCTGGCCAGCTCTGATTGTCATACTGCTTCACATCGTCTGCCGTTCCAAACGGTTGCTAGCGCACACAGTTATCTCCCTTCCTCGCCCCACTGCGTTTCCATCGTCGAAGCACCTGCCCCAGATTTGTCGCTCCGCATGTTCCCCCCCTCTCTCTCATTCCTCGTCTCTCGTTGTTTCTCTTTTCTTATTTTGTAATCTCTGTATATGTACCTATATATATATATACATACACACACATATATATAGATCGCTCCCTCTCTCTCTCTTGCTTTCTCTCTCTCTCTCTCGCTCTCTCCCTCTCTCTCTCCCTCTCTCTCTCTTTCTGTCTGTCCCTCTGTCTCTCCCTCCCCCTCCAAGTGCCTCTCTCCCTCGCCGCTCCCTGCCCCTCCCCCACCCTTCTGTGGAGGAAGCCCCCCCCTGTCTCGACTGTTCAGGGCTGGGTCGATGTCGTACCGGGCGAGACCGCCCTCAAAATCCTGGCCGCTGAGGGGGGGCTTTGCCACTCCCCGCAATTCTGGCCACGAGCTCGAACCAAGACCTCGCCGCGGCGGCGAGGGCCATGAGCTCGATCACACGTGGGCTGCTCGTTATAGCCCTGACAGGGCGGCATCGTGGAGAGCAGCGCAGAGGACATAACATCTACAATTGTGTCTGAAACTTCTTAGCGTGCGGCTGGTTCCGCCGACCCTGAGAAGTGGACATCTTGGGCACAAGAGGCGGACGCGGGGCAAGAGCGAGTGGCCTGAGGCAGCCTTACTGCGAGGGCGAGCATCGAATGGTCCTCGGCCCATCTCGCCACTGCGCCTGGATCGTGTTCCAAGAGCCTTGGGGGCATTGGTGGGGGATCTTAGGGGGCTTCTAGGGAGAATCGTGCAGCCTTTGTGGTCCTCTGAGGGCCGCCTTGGGACGTCTTGTCGGCCGCTCGTGCGGTGTGGGTTCTGTTGGAGGGATTGGCTTCCAGCGGTGCGACGGTGGCATGCTTTGGTGGGCCCTCTTTGGCAGTTTCGGAGGCCTCCTGGGCCCCTCTTGGGCCTCTTGGGGGCCCCATCGGACCATCTTGGACCGGACTGGTCTTGTCGGGTCCTTCGGGGCCGTCAGTGGATGCTCTTGCAGCCGATGCCGATGGAATGCGAATGCCGCACAAAACCTACGAGGAATTCGGACCTCTCAGGCCGGCCCCCCGACCTCCCAAGCCGGCCCGTTCCCGAGAGTGCCGCGGCTGGCCCCACGGAGGCAGCAGCGGGCCTTCTCGGTGGCCCCAACGCTCTCCCGAGTCACTCCAGGGTTTGGGGGGGGGGCGGGGAGGCGCACTTCCTCGGGATCCCCCCCTGCCCCCTGGGACCCTCGCCCCTTGGACCCCCCACCCCTCCTCCCCCCCCCCAGTAAAACGACGCGAAGATCGGGACAAAATCGGATCGGGATAACTCGAAATCTCTGAGAATCGGCGGGTTTGGAGGATGTATTGGGCGCCGCGGCCGCTCCAGAGCGTTCCAGAACCCTCTGAGAGCGCTCCGGAACGCTCTTGAGCGATTTATCCCGATCCTAGCCCTGTTTTACCCAGAGGGGAAGGGAACATAGGGAACGGGCTCCCAGTCAGTCGACTCCATCACGACCTGGGTCGATGCACCCCGGGCTGGCGAGCCTGGAGGGCCCCAGGCGGCCGCAGGGAACGTGGAGGAGAGCTTCGAATGGAAAAGCGTCTCCTATGACCACCCCTGGACGGCCCCCCTCACACACGCTGAGGCGGTGGATTGTATGGCAGCGTGCCTCAACCGTTGGCCACGACCAGTGAGAAAGTAGAGTGCAATGTCAGCACAAAGGTCACTGGTAAGGTTGCCTCCACCTGGCGAATCGCTGAGGTGTTAACTGCAGGCACCACATTCATACGGTTCCAGCTGTGAAGAGAAGACGCGAGACAAGACGAATGGTCGCCTCGTTTGCCAGGGGACTTGGGACCTAGCTATAGTCGTTCATGGCGATTGCATCTAGCCCGTCTCCAGGACTCCCTTGCTAGCCCACACCTGTTCCATTGTCTTTGCGAACGTTTCCCCAAACACCTTGTCTGTAAGGGTTCTAAATAACTCGGCGAACGCCTGCTGAGGGATGCCGTGCCCCCGAAATCGGTGGCGCAGCTTTGCTCCACAGCATGGACCCCCACCATGACCCCCCATCGCAGTTGCGTGAAGCTGTTCAGAATATTCTGCCGCAAGGGTGCCATTTCTTTGCACGGCGCTGCATGAGAAGTCCTTCAGGCGAGGAGCAAAGCATCATTCAGTTGGTGCGCGGAGCATAGCAGGCTGTTTTGGGGATTTCCGAAGTGCCGCGGCCAAGGCAGCATTACCCATCGCGGCTGCGGCTTGTAATCGGGGCGCCTGGACCCCATTCAGTAAGCTGGCGACAAGGTCGACAGGGTTTCGTTAACCTCGCGACACTGGAGTGGCCCTCGCCTCCGATGTCGTATACTGTTTGGTAAAGCTTCGGGCTGCGCGCAGACAGCCTCACCTAGGTTGTCAAGGCTGGCCTCAACAGGCCCTCCTCCCCCCCCAGCAGCCTCAGGCGATCTGGGCGCCGCCAGAGGCGGCACCAGGGTGTTGAGACCGACCCAGACTACTCGGGGGCGTGTTGAGGCCAGCCTGGACTACTCCGAAGTCTTGCAGTCAACCCGCATAGGAAGGATGGCTAACTTTCCCAAGGGTGCCTTTGCATTCTTCCACTTGGGCCCACCCTTGGCCGCTTTCGCTGGCCACGCCCCGCTTGCAAAGTGTCGGCACGGCCTTCCAAGGCCCTTACATCCTTAACGCACATTCTTATGATACGGGTTGGCTGTGCCATCTGCTCGTGACTTGGGCGCCTGGGGATGTGGACCCCTTCCCCCGGGGCGGGCTTGCTTCTCGTCCCGAGCCGATGTGTTGTCGGTCCCATGCGCCTGGGAGCACCTCCGAACTGAACACCCGAGGGCGGGGAGGTCCTAGCGCACATCGACCGCCTGTGGATGCAAATCCCGGGCCGATCTTCCTGGATCTCGCGAGTCGGTCGATGTGGATACATTTTTGGACGCCCGAAATGGGTACCGAAAGAATGGGCACAATGCCCAACAGCAAATGTTGTCCCGAACCAACAGCGGCCGCTTTTGGGCAGGCGGCCTCCTGTCTCGAATGGACACAGGCCGTGGCGGCGTGGACAGCGAGCCCTGTTCAAAATGAACAAGATCCGCTGTTGGGCATGGTACCCATTCTTTCAAGACCCATTTCGTGCATGCAGAACATTCGGGCCCTATGGGGCCCACATTCTGGCATAGCCAAGGCCCCGGGTAGGGAGAGCCGGCTAGTGAGAGGGCCCCGAAGCCAAGCAAATGTGTTTGAATCATTCAACCAGGACCATGTCTGCCGTCGCCGTAGCCAGTGCTATTCGGGTGACGGCAGTTCCGGTTAGTGAGATGGGGCTGGGGAGGCGTCCCCCAGCACACGTCACTAAACCAGGTCCCGCTAACCCGGTCTTGCCAATGTTCGGCATATGTATCCACATCAACACACCATGGGGTCCTGGCAGATCGGTCACCTGGGTGATGGCTTCCTGTAACCCTTAGGTTCGCGGAAAACGCAGAAGACAAGTGCCGCCACTGCTGTATTGCGAAGCCCAGATCTGAGAGGACGCTTGCCGTTGGTTTCGCAAGGGCGTCGGATGCATCAGGATGGGGGGGAGGAGGAGGAGGAGGAGGAGGAGGAGGAGGAGGAGGAGGAGGAGGAGGAGGAGGAGGAGAAGGAGAAGGAGAAAGAGGAGGGAGAGGAGGAGGGGGGAGAAGGAGGAGGAGGAGGAGGAGGAGGAGAAGGGGGGAGGACAAGCTAGGTACGCTCGCGCAATATCTGACATCATACCGCTCCCACCCATCCCTTCCCATTGCGCGGAATTTTCTCTATCCGCCGACACGTGCCACAGCGGACTTGACGTTCCTGACAGGACACCATCGTGTCATGCGCAATCGTAGAAGGCGGAGTTGCGTACACTGCAAGAGAGGATGGCGGATGAGCAGGAGGATGAGCAAACAGAAGAACATGATGACGAGGATGGAGGAGGAGGAGGAGGAGAAGGAGGAGGAGGAGGAGGAGGAGGAGAAGGAGGACGAGGAGGAACAGCTGCAGCAGCAGCTGGATGGCCAGGGAAAGGTGGGGGGGGGGAATGGAGCGGGGCGACAGCGACGAGGAACCGCTGGGGTCAGGACGCCATTCTGACCGATGGGAGCAAAGTGCCGATCCTAAGACCAGGCTCACTCGGAGGCACCGAAGGTGACTCGATTGGGACAGGCATCGGATATATCAAATATTGTGAACCTGTGTAAAAGGAAAAAAACAGTACGCGGAGAGGGGTGCGGGCCATAACCCCCGCAATCTTCGGGCGATAGAGGAGGGACGTACCCATATTGAGATTAACCGTGGAAAAAAGGGGGCAGGAGGAGGGAGGAGGAGGAGGAGGGAGGAGGAGGAGGAGGAGGAGAACGGGAAGAGGAAGGGGAAGTTGATAAAGAGGAGAAGCAGGGGGTTGGAGGGGAGGAGGAGGAGGCGGAGGAGGAGGAGGAGGAGGAAGAGGAGGAAGAGGTGGAGTAGGAGGAGGAGGAGGAGGAGGAGGGAGAGGTGGAGGAGGAGGAGGAGAAAAAACAGGAGGCGAAGGAGGAGGCGGAGGAGTAGGAGGAGGAGGAGGGATAAGTTTCAGTGCGAGGTTAAGCGAGTAAGTGACGGGGGAGGACAGGGAGGAGAGGAATGGATGATGCGGAGAAGGAAGCAGTGGGGAGCGAGGAGAGGAGGAGTGGAAGAGAGGGTGAAGGAAAGGCATGAGGAGAAGCAGGAGGGGGGGAGGAGGAGGGAAGGAAGAGGGGGGATGGGAAGGGAGGGAGGAGGGGACAGGGTGGAGGCGACCAGGAGCGGGAGGAGGGGAAAGAGGAGGCAGGGGGGAGAAGGGGGAAGGGATTGGATGGGGCCCAGACCCCCAACATCATGCGTGTGTCACATTTTCGACCCTTCGAGGTCTCGACCCCTTCCCCAGGGACCCACTTTCCATCTCGAGTCGTCTTTCGATGGTCCCGGGGCCCGGCGAGGCCGAAAATAGGAAAGAATTTCCCGTCGCGTGGAGGTCTGGGGAAGAGGAGCAGGAGGAGCGAGAGGAGCAGGACGAGAGCGAGATCCGCTCTCGCTGTGCCCCCGCGGCCTGCGCGGCAGGTGCGCATGGTCGAGCCCCTGCGCGAGGTGCAGCTCCAGGAGCCTCGGGCTGTGGAGCACCGGCTGTGCCCTGGCACGGGTCGACGATGACAAGGTCGACGACGGCGACGATCCAGACCCCTTCGCGTCGTGAACACACACACACACACACGACGGGTACCATGTTCGGCCTCTGGGGGCTCATCTCTGGGCCCTGGGACCGTCAAAGACCTGCTGAGGCTGAAATGCCGGTCTCGGGGAATGAGTCGAGGCTTCTGCGTGTCCATGCTGTGATTATGTTGTCGGGGGTCTCGGCGCGGGCCGACGGCGGCTATGTCGACGGCGGCGACGACGGCGGCGGCGGCGACGATGACGACCGCTCAGAGTAGCAGAAGCGTAGCGATGTTGCTGCCCTGGCCTTGTTTTCGCTTCCTTTGGCCTCCTTGTTTTCGGTTCCTCCGCTCGAATATATATATATATATATAGAGAGAGAGAGAGAGAACACGGCATAAACATACACTTTTGGCGCTCCGCGCGGATTTCTTGGATCCGCGCTGGGCCCTGCCAGCGCCGCCCTGGCGCGCGGAGCGCGCCAGGGAGGGGGTTCCAGCGCAGATCAAAAAAAAATTGCGCGGAGCGCCAACAGTTTATGTTTCTGCCGTGCTTTCTTCTTCTCTTGGAGGCCTGGGTCGCCACGGTTGGATCCTCTTCGAGATCCTGGCCAGAACAAACCCCAGGAGAGGCCCCAGGAGTAGCGGTATCGGGTCTGTGTTGGTCCTCCCAGCGTCGGCGGCGGCGACGGCACACCCCTGGCGGCGCCGACCACGGCGACAGCAGAGACGACTTACGCCGACGCCGACGCCGGCGACCACGACGACGACGACGACGACGGCTTCGGCGGCGACCACCGCGGCGACGAAGACGTCCTTCGTCCCTCGGGATGGGAGGGTCGAGCTTTCGAGCCCAGAAATCCGGCGCCTCGCACAATTGGATGCGGCCGATGGAGACTTTTTGGGCCTTGGAGACGTGTTTCGGGGCTCGGGACCGTCAAGCAACGGTTCGCGATGAAAGGCCGGTCCTTGGGACGGGGTCAAGAGGTCCAGGGGTCCACGCACAGACAAAATCGAAGCGCCACATGCCTGGGAGCCCGCAGATCTGGGCGTCGGAACAACATCGCGAAACATCCCGACCAGCGCCCTGGACATTTTCGCTCTGCGGCATGATATGGGCTGGATCGATCCGCGAGGGTCCCGGAAGTGCAAAACCAGGATTGTAAGGGGGAGCATCGAGGTTCGAGACTCGCGGACTTCATCCTGTCTCCCTCTCTCTCTCTCTCTTTCTGTTGCCCTTCTGTGGTGCAATCGGCATGGGTATGGAAATAATGAAAACAGTACGACGACCGACAGCAGTTCTTGTCCGTTCCGAACATGATTCGGCGTCGCAGCGGACGTTGTCAAATTGAACAGAAGGCCGACTGCCCAACAGCGACCACTGTCGGTGTTGGACAACACTTGTTATCGGACATCGTGCCCATTTGTTCCGTACCAACTGCGGGCGTCCAAGTCAGGGGGGTGATCGAGGTTCGAGGTTCGCGGACGCCATCTTAATTATTGATTCTTTTTTGGGGGGTTCTCTCTCTCTCTCTCTCGGTGGCGCGCCCAGGAGGAAGATAGAGGGGCACGCCTTCTCAGAAAGCGGCGGGGCTTCTTAGAAGCCCTTCGCCCTGATGCGACGCCGTCTATGTTATCCAGAAGGGGCTTTAATGCCAACTGCGCCCCCCCCCTAAGCTCTCGACTGGCAATGAAACGTGTCCATCCCCTTCTCGTCCTTTGCCTTCTCGTCGTCATCACCATCATCATCACCATCAGGGATCCTCATCCCCCTTATCATTAGCGGTGGCTGCCGCGGGGGAATAATCATGTTCCCAGGATTGCTGGGGGCCCCAATCCGCAAATAAGCCCGCGGAACAACATACATGTTCCCACTCTTGCTTGTTTTAAAGACACTTCGCGGTGTCTCAGAAGGCAGGAGGACTTCCAAGTCTTCTGAGAAGGCCCGCCCCCTCTCACTTCCCCCCTGGGCTTGCCGCAGACTCCCTCTCTCTCTCTCAAGTTTCGAGCCTCGCTATTTCTCGGAGGGAGGAGAAGCGATAATTACCAACGCCACCGGGGGGGCCCACCTCCAGCAAGGAGGTCCACGCTGCTTCCCCGAGCTGGATGCTGGGGATGTCTCGAGTCAGAGTGGGGGACCACACCACCAGGGAGACCCCCCTTGCCTCCTCGCATCTCCTCGCCCTGGTGGTGTTGGCGCCGCGTTCCCTTGTTCCTATCTTTCCCGCCTCCCTGTTCGCGTCCTGGCGGGCCCCGCCAAGAATGCGCCAGACTCTGCGCCGATCCTCGGCGGTTCGGGATCTGGGCGCCGGCCAGGCTCGGCCTGGCCCAGCCAGGATCCTGTCAGTCCCCGACCGTTCGGGTGTCAAGCAGTGGCGAAGCGTCCTGGCTCGCCTACAGGCCCACCAAATAATGTTCTGAGAACCTTTTGTGGCCTGCACGAAATGTTCCTGGCCGAGGCTGTTGTGTTTCGACACATCGGTTTATGTTCTAAGAGCACGGTTGATGTTCTTCGAACATTTGTGGGTTCTGAGAGCATATCGTGGGAGGCTTGTAGGTGTGCTGGGACGGTCGGTCCCTGCTTAAAGAAGTGCCCCTGGCCCAAGGTGCCCCCAGGATGTCCAAGGAGGCCCCCACGACCCCCAGAGCACCCCTCACGAGGCCCAGAGGGCCCCATGGGGGCTCCAAAAGGCAGCGGAAAGCTGGGGGGGCACCTTTTTGGCACCGCTCGGACGTTTGCAGGTTTCCTCGACGGGCAGCATCGAGGAGCATACTGGATCATCTCGCAAAAAGAAACGCGCGAAACCGAAACATGCACGGGGAATGGACGTCCGAGCGATGGCAAGCCTTGGGCCAGGGGCACCTGTGCAGCCTTGGACGTCCGAGAGATGGCAAGCCTTGTTTTGATTCCCCGATTCGATTCGATTCGATGTCGATGGGTTCCGATTCCGATTCGATTCGACCTCGGATTCCGATTTGGATTCCGATGTATCCATGCAGGCGTACTAGCCTGCCGATCTCCACCGATTCGACTTCTCCCGACTCGGCTGCCGATTTCCGCCGATCCGATTCAGTTCTACTGCCGATCCGATGTATCGCGTCGATTCTGGGCTCTCGTGCCTGCAGCAGCCCCCGAACCGTGGACACCCTCCCAGCTTCGAAGGAGCCTTCCCAGCAGCCCCCCCCGGGGTCCCCGCCGGGCCCGCCCTCGAAGAGGCCCCGGCCTCCCCTGCGAGAGGGCCGCCCACCTCTCACGCCACCCTCCTCGGGCGCGCCGCCGATCCTCCACCCCATCGGGTGCTCGATCATGGGCCCCTCTTGTGGAGCCCGGCGACAGGCGAGGGGGGGAAGCGAGAAGGATAAGGCCTTCTCAGGAGGCGGCGAGAAGGGGGTCCGTGCTGACGGGGGTCCGCCAGAGCGCCGGAGCTCGCAGGCTCCTGCGGAGCCAGAGCTGCACTGACCGGGGTCAGGGCGCAGGATCCCGCAGGATCCTGCGGGATCTTGCGAAGCCCGACTTGCCTTAAGTCGGGCCTCTCCCTCTACAGGAGGAATATTCAAAAATAATAAACAATTAGCCTGGCGAAGGACCCAACCATATGCAGTTGAGAGTACCGCAATTGTGAATATCTTCTTCGGTGGCGCTCCCTATGGGGCCACGAGCCGTATGAGGGGTGTGCCGGAATGCGTGGCAGTGTACACAACACGAACGAAGACGATAGGTCCGAATATGAAAGCTTGAGCGCGTGCGAGTCGGATCGCGAGCGAGTCTGATTATGAATGAATCTGCGCGCGATTGATTCTATTCGCATGAATGCGTGCATGGATACGCCCAGTGTAAATGTATGTATACGACTGTGAACAGTTTGGGTCTGCGTGACTCTCGGTACTCGTGACTCTGAGCGTCGCCTCTGCAGGGGGCTTCCCTGGGAACCCCGACGGCAGCGCCCGCGCGCCGCGACGCCCATGTCGGCACGCCACACACCTGGTGTGCGGGACGCATGCGGACGGCAGCACTGGGGCCTTCGGTGGAGCTCCCTGTGGGGCCACGAAACGTGTGAGGGGTGTGCCGAAATGGGTGTGCGGGACGCATGCGGACGGCAGCCATGGGGCCTTCGGTGGAGCTCCCTATGGGGCCACGAAACGTGTGAGGGGTGTGCCGAAATGGGTGTGCGGGACGCATGCGGACGGCAGCCATGGGGCCTTCGGTGGAGCTCCCTGTGGGGCCACGAAACGTGTGAGGGGTGTGCCGAAATGGGTGTGCGGGACGCATGCGGACGGCAGCACTGGGGCCTTCGGTGGAGCTCCCTGTGGGGCCACGAAACGTGTGAGGGGTGTGCCGAAATGGGTGTGCGGGACGCATGCGGACGGCAGCCTGGGGCCTTCGGTGAAACGTGTGAGGGGTGTGCCGAAATGGTGTGGGACGCATGCGGACGGCAGCCATGGGGCCTTCGGTGGAGCTCCCTATGGGGCCACGAAACGTGTGAGGGGTGTGCCGAAATGGGTGTGCGGGACGCATGCGGACGGCAGCACTGGGGCCTTCGGTGGAGCTCCCTGTGGGGCCACGAAACGTGTGAGGGGTGTGCCGAAATGGGTGTGCGGGACGCATGCGGACGGCAGCACTGGGGCCTTCGGTGGAGCTCCCTATGGGGCCACGAAACGTGTGAGGGGTGTGCCGAAATGGGTGTGCGGGACGCATGCGGACGGCAGCACTGGGGCCTTCGGTGGAGCTCCCTGTGGGGCCACGAAACGTGTGAGGGGTGTGCCGAAATGGGTGTGCGGGACGCATGCGGACGGCAGCCATGGGGCCTTCGGTGGAGCTCCCTATGGGGCCACGAAACGTGTGAGGGGTGTGCCGAAATGGGTGTGCGGGACGCATGCGGACGGCAGCACTGGGGCCTTCGGTGGAGCTCCCTGTGGGGCCACGAAACGTGTGAGGGGTGTGCCGAAATGGGTGTGCGGGACGCATGCGGACGGCAGCCATGGGGCCTTCGGTGGAGCTCCCTATGGGGCCACGAAACGTGTGAGGGGTGTGCCGAAATGGGTGTGGAGGAGGGAGGAGGGCGGAGGAGGAGGAGAGGAGGAGGAGGAGAGGAGGTGGGACGCGGGGCGCTGTCTCTTCAAAACGAGGACCCAACACCACAGGATGGTTGGGAAATAGTCTGGGAACTATGTTTTGAGTATTGTTTGACCCCTCTGGGGTATTCTTGGAGTATTTTTCGTGTCTCGTCGAAGGTCCCCCTGTAGGGGGACATGCCCGACCTAAAAGTAGATCCCCGAACCACCCCAACCCTAACCCGAAGGTCACAGCCCCCACAATTTTCGGGCTGGGGGGGCGTGCGGGGTTCACTGCGTCTGCTGGATGCTCCAGAGCGCCCCTCCCCCCCCTGGGGAATCGAGGGGCCCAACGTCGACTTCGGGTTGGGTTGGGATGGCCTGGCGGGCAGTCCACCAGCCAGCTTTCGCGCCGAAGACCGCCAGGAGATGGGCCGATGGCTAAGGGGGTCCACGGTTGAGTACGTACGTACGGTCGGGAGCTTTTGCGCCCGCGACACGTCAACCACGGCCGAGTCCCTAAGCGTCCATGTCCCGAGCCGCTCGCGGCATGCCGCCCCGCAGAGCGGAGCGCCACGCGGTCCGCTCGCGGGGCATAGCCTGGCACCGGGGCCGCCGCCGCCGCACGCCAAGAAGAAGCCCCCGAACGTACGGCAGGCTGGTGCCGTGTCGACGCGGCGGCGACCCCAGCGCGGGTGGTCGAGGTGGCCCAGAATCGGCCAGTGCGGAGCGCTCTGGCGCTCGACACGCCGCCGAACCTTCACGGCTGAGCGATACACGCGGTGCCAGAGACCCACACCGAATCTCCTTACTGGAGTCCCCATCCTGCTGCGCCCTCGGTAGGAGGGGGACGTCAAGTTCCTCGCCCCTGAGCTGCAGCAGGCGCGCCGCCGCGCGCGCGCCGCGCGCGCGCCGGTTGTCAGGCCGACTCGTCGCGGTTGATCTTCCGACTCGCTCGGTTCGACCCTCGATTTTCGTTCCTCGATCTTCCTCTTTTTTGTCACTCTCGGGGAAGCGCATGAGCGGATTTGCGACGCGTGGATTAGCGACGGACTCCATTTCCGCACAGGACCGTCTCGCTCCGTCGCTAGAGTGGGTGGCATTGGCCTCACATTTCGGGGTGGTACCTTCCCCGATCCATGTTGACGTGTGCCCGATTATCCATCCTCGGAGGAAGGAATCCCGGGAAGGCGCCACCACTACCACCGCGTGGGGGACCACCTCCAGCGATGGTGGTCCACGATCCCCCCCCCGAGATGGGGATACAAGACCACACCTCCGAGGCAACCCTCCCTGGCGTCTTGCTCCACGGTGGTGGTGGTGTCGCCCTGCCTTGTTCCTACATTCCTCCATCCTTGCACCCATCTCGTGAGGTTGTCCTTTCCAGCACAGGTGCGTTTCTATGCATGGGCAGCGGGATTCATACCGCCCGCGGTGCTCAGAAGCTGTCCGATTTGCTGAACTGGCCACTGGTGACATGAGCTGTGCTCCACTGCCCTCCAGGGAGATCTCTGACCCTCCCCAGAAGCCCGATGGACGCCCCCGGAAAATAGTCCACACGTCCCACGACTGCCACTCTCATCCTCCCGTCTGTCCACCCTGGCCCCGCCCCGAACAGGACAAGTGCTCGCCCCGCCCGCCGCAGAACATGTGCATTTGACGTTTTGAGTCCTCTCTGGAACTCCTGGCCCGTCCAGTGGGACCCCCAGAGGCCTCCCAAAGCCTCCAGAGACCTCAGCCCCGCGGAGACCTCTGATTGATTCCGCGGGGGGGAGAGGAGGAGAGGAGGGAGGAGGGGAGGAGGAGGAGGAGGAGGAGGAGGAGGAGGAGGAGGAGGAGGAGGAGGAGGCGGAGGAGGCCGTCGTCGTCAAACGTGGGTTTAGGGAGGAAAAGGAGGAGGCGGAGGAGGAGGAGGAGGAGGAGATTGTAGATTGTAGGGAGGAGGGAGGAGGAGGATGCGGAGGAGGGAGGAGTAAGGCGTTTGGAGGGAGGAGGGGGGAGGGAGCAGGATGAGGGAGAACGAGGAGGAGGAGGAGGAGGAGGGAGGAGGAGGAGGAGGAGGAGGAGGAGAAGGAGGAACCAGGGACTGGATTCTCGTCCTGACCGTCCTGAGGAACCAAATCGGGCCTTCAGAGGCCTAGTGAATGCCAGAAAAACGGGTCGTCGCGATTTGTGTGTGTGTGTGTGTGTTTGTGATGTTTGAGGTCTAGGGGGGGGGGGGCAGACGAGAAGAGAGGTGGATGACATGGGCGAGCAATTCGATTGCAGCATTCTTAAGTTGTTTCAGTTGCCGGCCCGCCCGGTCGCCGACGGGATGAGGGTGAAGATGTCGGGCACGTACGAGCAATGACGACAGGGAGGAAGAGAAGAATGCGGAAGAGTAAGAGATTGGGGTGAACGAGATGGCGGAGGGAAGACGAGAGGACGACCTCACAGACTACAACTCGACCGCTAACGCTAGCGACCTGATGCAGACGACGCGACTTTCAGCCACCAGGCTGTGCACAGCAGCTTACCAGCATGGACTCACGCCCCACCCTGACAATACGAAAACTATCCTCTTGCACTACGGCAGCGGGGCCAGGAAGGAGCGCCAGAAGATCGCCAGAGACAAGGTTACCTTCATCGAGCTCGAAAACCTCCCCATCAAAGTTCAGCTTGTGACCCAGCAGAAAGCCCTCGGGACCATCATCGTGGCGGGAGGGGCCATGGGCCCCGACATATGCCTCAGAGTCGATTGAACTCAGATCCTCCGCCACAAGAAGCTATCGACGAAGGCCAAGATGAAGTACGTACACGCCCTCTCGACCTCGTCGCTGACCTACAACCACCACGCCTGGCATTGCTTGACTAAGAACACATCGCAGCCAAGTACATGGGCCCTTACCGAGTGGCGGCATCCATGCCCAAGACGAACACGCCCGACAAGCACGTCACCAACAGCGAAGCGATCGCGACGACGGGCATCTCTGACTTCGACACACACACACACACCAGACGGTAGCCCGACTACGCTACCGACCGCATCTCTTGAACCGCGCGCCCGCGGTCCTACTCCAGTTACTTGATAGCCAGCGGCAACTTAGAGGCACCTGGTGCCACCTCCTCAAGCAAGACTTCACCTTTCCCAGAAAGCATTTCCCACAGGACAGATGGCCGATCAAGAACCAGCAAGACAGCGACACCATCAACTGGGCCCACCAGAGGCCCAAGCACTTCACCAACGCGGTCAAGGCAACCGTAAAAGGCCTGCACTTCATGAGAGACCAGGCCCAGCTTGCGAAGTTCCAGAAGGCCATCCAGATGCCCCTGATCCCATCGAGCACCGTCGAGATCGACCAGTCTGACGATGGCGCCAAGACCAAGAACGCCTGCTACATCTGCGGCCGTACGGCCACCAAGCAGGGCATGGCAGCGCACGTGGGAAGGGGCCACCCCGATTGCGAGAACCCTCGACGATTGGCAGCGGGTACAGCGTGCAGATGCTGCCAGACGGAGTTCCATACTTTACCTAGGTTTCTGAAGCACCTGGCGGTAGCCCACCGCTGCCGCAAGTCCTGGCGTGCTTGGCACACCATGTTGATCGAGCCGCTTACCGATCAGCAAGTAGCAGACAACCTCGAAATCTTGGCCATGACCACGGCAGCAAACAAGAAGAGTGACCGACACGCGACCTTCAGCGATATACCCGCCTACAAGATCGATATCACGCCGCTCCCACTCTTGGAGACGTCGCCTACCCTTCCGAAGGTCTACGCGGGCATCCAATCCACGATGCATCAAACCACCGAACCAAAGCCCCCCTAGCCAGCCGAACGACAGGAAGTGGTCTTCATCACGGACCGCCCTCTGCAACCCGGCGACCTCCAACATATCATGGCCACCAGCACAGTTACCAGCGCGAGTGGACTGGACTACCGCGCGATCGACTCCAACAACGACTGCCGCGCACCGACACCGGATCACGGATTACAGTTCATCCGCGACAGGATCACGTGAGGAGAGATCGCCGCGATATGCGCCGAGGTACCGAGAAGGACGTGGCACCGCCACGACAACGCCGAGGCTGCCGCCAACCACGCCAGCAGTCGCTGCTCGAAGGAAACGCCATGGGGACCAGCCGACGCCACAGAAAAGATAGCCAACGAGCTCTACTCAGCCAACTCCGTCACAAGAGAAGCCCCCGCGACCACACACGCTGCCGCCGAAGCGAAGGTACCCTTCCTCGCCTTACACGCCGAGGATTCTATCCCCTGGACGCTCCCCGAGAGCCACCACGTCATTAAGCGCGCGGCAGCGACGTGCAGCACGGCCAATCACTACGAGCTTGGGACCATCATGATCGTCGCTAACTCAGCAGACCCCATACACGAAACCACGCTAAAAGAGACAGCCGCCGAGGACTCCGACTTCGCTGCGGCCGCCCAGCCTGACGAGATGATTATCGCGAGATGGGGCCTTCGAGCAGCAAGAGTAGCACTAACCAACGCCATGCGGCTACGGCAGGTACCTCAACTACGGGCAGCACATCACCTGTGGCGACAACAGTGACTACACAGCCAGCAACCACACCGCCGCCAACTACAGCTGCAGCCACCACAAGCACGACTACGAGACGCCACGCGGCGGAGTGGGCCGTCATACGGAAGCCATCGCATACACCACGGAGCATGGTCTGGAACCAGGTGTTAGAGCGCAACGTCCTAGTGTGCCAACATGGCTTCTAGGCACGACGTCGCCATGTACGCTGGAAGGCGTTAGAGCGCAAAGTCCTAGTGTGCCATCACGGCTACGAGGCAACGCGTCGCCACGCGAGCATGGGGGTCCAGCGGGCAATCTTGCACCTTGCGCTGACGGAAAGAGTGAGCGCTCAAGAGCACAACGCCCGATGGCCAAGCGACCACATATCCAACCAAATGGCACCCGAGAAGGCAAACGACAGCGACAATGTGCACATGGACCTGCACGGCAGCCTGCAGCCAGGAGGCCGAAGGGCGGGTTGCCAGCAGGACATGAAAGCAGCTTTGACATATCGGAGGCAACCGCGCCGAGAAGCGAAGCAGGGCACTGGCGGCCCGCAGCCCATGAGCAGCCGAAGGGCGGTCTGCCAGACGGCTACGGCACCAGCACCGAAGCAGAGCCGCCAGGCAGCAAAGGATGACACGGTGCATCGCTTGGCGCGGAGGGCACCCACGGAGGCCTACAACCGCGACGACGAGCACGCCGTGATGAGGGGCAGCACGCAGCCGGCAGGCCGAGGGGCGGGCTGCCAGGAAGACATGATAGTTGCTGTGACGCGGCAGCGTGCAGAACGAGAAGGGCAGAAGAAAAGGTCAGGCCGCCCGCGGCCCAAGAGCGGCCGGAGGGGCGGGCCGTCGGACAGCGACTCCTCCCGCGAGGCCAGGCCCGACAGCAGCAGGAGACACGGTGGAGCACCGTGCTCCATGCCAGGCCCCCCAGAGGTGCCGCCGCTTCGCGCGACGGTCGAGGTAGAGCCGCCGACCAGCCTGGTCGGAAGAGGCTCACAAAGACAAGAAAAGACGAAGACCAGAGACGGTTGAGCGCCCCTCAGCTTGCGAGCCGAAGGGGGAGGGGAGTGCTCTTCGCAAAGAGGAAGAAGGAGTTATGTACGGCGCCCAAAAGCAGGCGCCCTGAGGCTTCGGCGCCGTGGCGGCGCTGCAGAGCCTATATTGAAAGGGTCTTGAAAGGAGGAGAAGGAGGAGAGGGGAGGGCGAGCGGGAGAGAGGGAAATGGGAAGAAGAAGAAGAATAAGGGGCACGCGGAGGAGGAGAACGGAGAAGAACGGAGGAGGAGGAGGACGTGGAGGAGGAGTACGATGTGGACCTAGAGGAAGAGGGGTACGGAGAGACGGGGGATGCCGA